GTGAATTGTTAGAAAAAGTTTTCAGAAAGTCCGCGAGACCGTTATTGTGGGTTTAATGTGCTACCGGTCTCTTGGGCTGTCTATCTAGTGGAATGAAGCCTTCAGAATATTACTAGAAATTGGCGGGGGGGGGGGAGAGTTCTAGACATTACTTTTCAGTAGGGGGTGGAAGAGGGGGTCGGGAGCAGCTGGTGTTTATCTTTCCCGGTCCTAGTTTGAGTTTTAGTTGTTTGATTTTCTTTTTTAAATAACAACAATAACAACAAGTAAAACATAATGTATCAATCATCATTACATAATTATAAAATTATAACACAAGATAAATAACATTACATATGAATAAGCTAAACACTGTTTTACAAAATATGTTATATACAAAATAATGAAAGAAACGATTATGTGTACACTTTCGTTGTTAAAGGGGGTACTAGAAGTTAGCACAAGTGCTAATCTAGTCTGGTTCACTGTGTTTTGCAAGAATTGTTGGTACTATACTATATTACATATAATATAACATAAACTATATAATGAAAGTAAACAAGAACATAGAAAAGTCATTTAGAAGTTTTCCTTACTAAATATATAAACATGTAAGTCAAATGTATGTCGATTTTCGTATCAGAACAAAACGAGAATTTTTTTTCTTTCTAATGTGATGATCTTTGCGTATTCGCCATTTCAAGAAGTCTTAACTTTTGTTTTACTCAAATTATTTAGATGATTTAGACGATGAAATATAAAGACCGGTAGTGGTACAATTGCGGTTCAAGGGTTTTGGGTGCAAAATATCCGTTTAATATTGTTTAAATATTTCCTTTAGAGGTTTAGATGGCAATACTTCAACCTAAATTCGCAAAAAGCACAAATATATGCCCAAATGTTCAGTGTTGAAGTGGATTCGCGATATCTATCCAGGCCGGATCAATATGATAATTTACCAAATATTTCAATTAGTAGGCGGTTTCCCGCCAAAATTTGTATCATCACTGATTAGTCTAAGCATGTTCTTTCACATGATTGGTAATAAGAGCTTCCGTTTCATTTTTTGAGAGGGGACCGTTTCCAAAACTGGTCTATATCTTTAATGTTAGTTGTTGTTATTGTATTTTGAAATACGTGTTCTATCAGAGGAGTAATTATCCTTTTAATTTTCCTGAAGGAAAGTTGCAAGACTATCTTGTTCAGGGGTTTAAATATCCGACTCTCCTTGCAGCACGTTGACTGCATATTGCCGTGTGTGTGTGTATGAAGTGACTATGTGTGTATGAACACGTGTGTTTCGTTTGTTTTGATGAAATATTATTATTGTAGATAATTTCTTAGCTGTATGATGTACACAACAATCATGACTGATCTTTGTCAGTGTTTTCCTGAAAACATCTCCAGTGGCATATCCAAACCTTAGCCTCAGGAGGGGCAAAACATTTCCAACTGTTTTCCATATACCTTTAGTACGGAAGGTCTTGGTTTGCGTTACCATGAAAGGGGGGGGGGCATCATCCAAAATGACTTTACTGAGGAAGAAAGTGCGAGTTCGTTGACCAATATCTTGCCTACATTTCATGCATTGTTTCGTTTTACAGAGATTCGATACCTGCTTGCTACCATGCTTTTTCCTGGTTTATAACCTATACGAAGGCGCGAGTTGCAGGAAATGAGTAAGGGCATACGGTGTATTGGAATTGAAATGAAAGTGCATAATTCTTAGTTTTGTTTGTCTTATCTGAAGAGATATCTGTCATGAGGAAGGATGTCAATCACAGACGAGGAGGAACAATCAACAATGAGGTTCTAATTGCTATTATTTCATCTGATGTAAAGAGAATTAGTATAATTCCTTTTTTCTTTTACAGCTTTATCTGGCTAATCACAGATCTGTTTGCATAGTATAGCTATTTTGAAATCTATGTACTGATTATATTAACGCTGTACATGTATGTACATTGTTTTTATGACAATTATAAATAGCTGAATGAATGAATAAATATGAAAATAAATTACGTTAAATAATTCAATATCATTGATGCTTTTAGAGACCTTTTAATTTGAAGCGGATCAAATTGATTGAAGCTGCTCCTGTATTAAATAAAGAAAAAGTGGTAATGTGAGCAATCACCAAACTCAATTTCAAACAGATTTATTCTACTTGACATTATGACCACCAGCAACACAGCTATCATGTAATCGTAATAAGGATTCAGTTTTGTGGATTAAAATGATTGATGAAGTAATTTTGACAGCGGGTAACAACATTTTGACTGGTTATAAATCAAAACAAACAATGGCAATAATAAGCTCTTTTTGGCATACATGAAGTGAATTAATTCTTTATTTTTGCCGCTGCTCGGAACTCGTATATTTCCAAGAACATTCAATTGAAATAATACTCTTGGGGGAACAAAACACCTGAACCTGTGCTCACGAAAATTATTTTATCTACAACAACATAAAAAAAAGGATAAACAAAATAATGATGAATAGGTTTTTAAAAAAATCTAAAGAACAATAAAGAGATTTTGTATTGACAGTTAAAATCGATGTGACGTCACACATTGGCGAGAAGCACACATGTACACTGAGTGCAGCGCGAGCTTGTTACGAGTAATGCGAGTATATTACGAGTGTAGGCGAGTTCACCTCGAATTACAACGAATCGGGTAAATTTTTTGAACATGTTCAAAAGTTTGGAGCTGCTCGCGACTTCGGGGAGAGTCGTGGAATGTTGTAAAGAGTTACGCTAAGCCATACCGAATCGTTCGCGAGTTATTGCGAGTGCCTCTTTGAGGCAACTCACCACAACTCGCCATAACTCGCTAATTTAACGCATTGAATTTCTAGTTATGTATGTTTAATAAATATGATCGAAATTTACATACATTATGAAGTAGGCGTAATTAATAGCTGATTCGTAGATCATCTGATATCTTGCTATATAATTATTGAATACATTACGTCTAGAAATAAACATCAACGTCATATCGAATGGGATTCATTTTTTGTTAAAAACAACACAATGTTTATTACTTTTACAAAATACTTGTATATAAGAACAGTTTTACAAAATATTGCAAAGTGTTGAAAACAGCTGTATAACAGTATAGACGCACCACTTCAGCAGATTTAAAGCTTGTTCAGATATGGTGCATTAAACCGCCACCCTCAAACATACAAAGCCACGCTTCTATTTTGTTTTAATTTTTTTAAACGTGTGAATGAATGGTGTTAAATATGGTGTATTTAAACGTGTTCGTATTCACTGACCTCTGTGGTAAGAGATAAAGACATGTGAAGCCTATCTACTTTACGTGCTAATACAAAAAAAAGCCTCGGATTTGCAACGTCATATCTGCCTTAGGAGATATTTTTATATTATTTTATTTTATTTATTTTCCACTCAAATATCCACAAATTATTGATGGCGAAGAACTAACAAAGATGAGATACGGAATGAGAAGTGAATAAGAAAACAAACTAAATTACTGATAAACCACATTCAACGTACAAAATAATCTAATAAACCATATACGCGGATACAGTCATCATAAACTATTAAAAGAGATCATAACAATACCAGTTGCATTTTCGTCTCGTATCTATAGGTGCATGATTATTTCATGTTCTGGTATAACTTCTCTTCGAAAAGAAGAGTCAATTTGCTTTAAAATCTATAATATTAAAATATGCCGAATTGTGATGCATTGAAGAATTTCTAGGTTTTAGGAATATATATAGGCATGTCATAATAACTCTTCATAATACATTTAAATACATACAAAAATGTTTAAAATGATTAAATGTTATAAAGATAATGAAAATGATAGTACTGTTATAAAATCACACATTTGACGATCCATCCTTTTCAGGAGACATTAAAAAAAAAGGAATATTAATCCAAACTGACATGAAAAGCATGACAAAGCTTACAAATTGTCGTTCACCTTCACCATAATTCAACCTTCTCTTTCAAGAAGCTAAAGTTCCAATATTCACAAAACCACCAACTCAATATTATATTGAATATTCGGGGTGCTTAGATATGAAATTTGTTATTTTTTTCACGACAAAGAGTGACAGATATTTAGAAACTGAGGAGTGGATGCTCAGATAACAGTTGTCAGCCCTCTCCTCCCTCCTCCCCTTTGCGAGAACGTGCCCGTATATGGCGCGCCAATTGACCAATAACCCAGATAAACATTGTTCATCGTCGATAAACAGTGTTTATAGAGAGAAACTGTGTTTATCAGTCGATATACAGAGTTTCTCACGATAAACACTGTTTATCGCTCGATAAACATTGTTTTTCGCTCGATAAACATTGTTCATCGGCGATAAACAGTGTTTATCTGGGTTATTGGTCAAATGGCGCGCCATACCCGTACGCCAATACCTATGTCGCACTTGCCGCAATCACGGCTCCCATTGCCAACGAATAGGGACTTTTAAATTTGCACGAAGACAATATGGATGAGTGGTGAAGTGTGACGTCAGCAAAAATCTTTTTTTAGAATTTCTCAATTTTTTCTTCATTTTTCGAAAGAGCATCAAAAATAATGTCCGAATGTCGAAAACCAATTGAATATATTAAGTATTGGTTGAGATATGAACATCTGAATAAATATGTGTCCTATAGGAACCGTGTTAGTGCTCAGGTTCATTACATTACGAGTCAGAGCAATATAACACTGAGTTCCTATAGGACATCTACTTATTCAGATGGTCATATCTCAGCCAATACTTAACATATTCAATTGGTTTTTCACATTCGGACACTATTTTTGATGCTTTTTTTGGAAAATGAAGAAGAAAAAAATAGAAATTCTGAAATATATTTTTATGATGTCACAGCTTCGGTACTCAGAAATACCCCCAATACCCATATACTGCCACTTTTCACCTAGAATAATCTACATTTACAAAGTCAAATGAAAATCCACACAGCAACAAGTGTCAATATGCCTGTTAAAATCATGAGGAAGAATCATTATGTGACCTCAATTCAATTCAATTCAATTCAATAATGGTTTATTATTTAATTTCAAAGTACATGCATCATAATTGTCATTTTACATGAAAAGCAGCAGAAGCTGGATTATTCATGTTTACATGCTGACATAATAATAAAGTGACATGTTGCATTTTTAAATATTTACACGTTAAAAAGATTGTTAAAAATACATTCAAAATATAACAAAAGAAAGATTTATACTTTCGTTTAGAATGAATACATTGGGTTTTAAGACTAAACACGACTAAGGTGAAGACTAGTACTGTGTTTGAAAATTAACATGTAGTTAAAAAAGCATTTAATTATGGTTAATTAGATTGATCAAATATGGTAAAGGGCTATTTTTGAAGCGATTGGTTTTGCATTTGAAATTATGATATGTAGGAGTCTGACGTAATGACATTCTAATTTTTGTTGTTGAAGGTAGCCAGTTCTGGCATGCTGGGTGAGTTGCTAAAGATTTTGCAAATTGTATACACAGTACTAGTCTTCTTTCCTCAAGTGTACTTAAATTGCATACTTGACATGCATGTGAATATGACATAAAATTAGAGCCTATAATAATTTTGCAAACCCTCCGTTGTATTCGTACTCATGAATACACATCAATTATATTTATTTGCAACAGACTTGTCATACGGTGTCGAAATGTTAAGCGTTCAGTACGTTACGTCATAGTCAATAATTACAATTTTAAATCAATTCGATTGACTGAAATGCACCTTAATCACTTTGCGGATTCATTATGAATTTCTTAGGAGGACCATGCATGCATGGGCACAAGACTGTTAAAATGTCTGCCAAGCACAATAATGAAGTGTTGTTATTTTTGTGAGGTTGTTTTAATTTTACTGATTCAAACAATCAATCTACTGCAGGATAAACAATCCGGAATGAATATTATTATAGCCATGATCTCTCGCCAAAAGATCCACAGAGCTCAATAGTAGCTTTAAATTGGCAGTCGCATACGGGATCGCCGGGGTCTTCTTTCCCTCGTTGGCCGAGATGCATAAAGTACGGAGGAAATTGGCTGCTAAACATCTGAAGTCTTCGTGCTAGAACTCTGTTTTCCATCGGTTCGACTGACTTTTATCTTCCGTCTTTCCTTACTTTTCTTGTAGTAGTAAACACTGTTGAGAGGAATGATATGATACTACAACAGGCGCCACAGTAACATCAAAAACGTGCATGTATCAACGTGCTGATATCACCAGCTGGCTAAATTTATGAGATACAGTACCGTATTTGTATCTTCTCGTAGGATTTAAGAAGCCTTTAATCTACATGGGTCGTATTGTCTCTGGTATCAATGACGTATTCATTCAATTTCAGTTTGAGCATTGATTTTTTTTTTTTCGGTTAATTGAAGTATGTTTTTATTTATTTTATTTTTTATTTTTTTTGATTAACGGCAACTGCGCGCAACAAAATGACTTGCGTGTATTATTCACTTAGCTGTTTTAATAGAATTACAATTTTTTTTAAATAACTATTAAAACAAAAAAAGGCGTTTTTGTTTAAATTAACGGCAACTGCGCGTAACAAATGACTTGCGTGTATTCAATAAGCTGAATTACAATTTTGTAAAAATAACTATAAAAAAAGGCGTGGCCTACCGCTGCATATCTGAACTAGGCTTTAGTTGTCATTTTCTTTTTGTTTTACTTACCTAAACCCGATCACAAAGACGACTAACAGCACAACAGCGCACGGGACTATCACACTGACGGCTAACTCGGCTGTGGAGAAGCCTGCATGAGGATAAAGTATTTATAAGGACAGAATTTAATGAACAATGTGGTAGTTTCATGCATGTAGATATTTAAAAAGGCTGGGGAGTGACAACATTTTTAAAACGGTAAATTTTTAACAAAATTGTAACATGCGGCAGTCAACACGCACCACAGAGGTTAAATCCAGTTTATCAAAAGCGTTTAAAGAGCGTCAACACTACTGGGCAATAAGGGATTAGACCACACAGCGAGGTCACTGACAGGTGGCTATCTTAAACTCAGCTCTCAACTAACATAAGAAAAAGAGGATCATGGGGGACCAACAGGCACCGATTGGGGAAGTTTTCTATATAGAGAGAGCAAGTAGCTACAAGTAGGACAGTGGGGCTTTAAAATATACCGTTTCATGATTTTGAAAATATTGTCACTCGTCGGCCCCTTTAAATTCTGATTTTATATTTTGAGCTTTTAGAGAGTGAGTTAATGCACGTTAAAATGGGACAACTCATGGACTTATCTTCTATTCATTTCAGTTGATATAAAACGTTTACTTTCTTTCGAAATTATGCACAATATTTAACCACTATTATTGTACAAGGAATTATACAAAATGATATTATATTATTTAAACGAGCAACAATTAAGAGTTTAAATCCCAGTTTATCAAAACAGAACATTTTAGCATTTTGCATTAAATTCAGTTTCTTGCTTTGCCATCATATTTTCTCCATGGCAACATAACTCAACAACCCAATAAATCAAGCTTTCTATGGAAGTTCCTATTTGTGGCAAAATTACCATCAACGGCAAGCTTCATGCGATGGGGACCTGTTTAAACTCTTTTCGCTTACCCGAACTTTTGCTATCACCACGAGGCTCAGGGGCATAGGTTACGGGAGCACCAACATTGTCTGATACATTGGCAGAATATTGGATAACATTGGTCGAACTCTCTGTGATATCTGCCGGGCAGGTAACGTTGGGTTTTTCATACAGATTTAAAAATAATGACAATAATAATAATAATTATAATAATCATAATGATAATAATAAGATAATAGTATAACTTGCATTGATATTACGCTATCTAATACAACTTTATTAAAGCGTTTACAAAATTTAACTTCAAATCAGCACAAAAAGGAGATATTTCACAGAGATAATCATCAGCCTCATGGTGCTACTACTAACTAACGACAATTTTTTTTTATAATGATATCATAAAAAATATAATTATACTATAGGTTGTTGATGATGATGACACTAACAATAAAAATAACTTACCCGAACGTCCGTTTGTAGACGGCCTCTCCTCTACTTGTATCACAGTCAAGCACGTCTTGTTAAAGACAGTATCATCAATGAAGATCGTGAGGATGTACGTTCCTAAAGACAGGGTATTATTCTCCGTGCCATTAAACAGGACAGCAACCGTGACGTCACCATAGAACTGATATGTCGAATCCATCAGGGTTAGATCATCTTTTGTTATAGGTGGGTATTGGCAGGTCGCGTCTGCAGAGTCGAGTTGGATAGTTTCTTGAGGAGGAATATATTCCACTGGTAATTCGCTAACTGAAGATTTAAGATGAACAAATGATAATTAAACATAATTCGAACTTCATTGAGACTTCGTCGAAAATGATCGTGTGGTTATTATTAAAAATTTACCGTTTTGTATTAAGGCTGGTTAAATACGATTTGCTATAGTATATGGTATAGTATAAGAAATGAAAGTTTCCGTGTGAACAGGAATGCGGTCGCAGGGGCGGATCCAGCCGGCGGCAGGGGAGGGGGCCCAATTCGTGAAAAAATATTTAGCGGCGAAACAGACAGCCGGTGAATAAGCGAGGGGGGAGCACTTTTTTGGGGCCCCGGAAATTTGAGAATTCGCACCCCCCCCCCCCCCCTTGAGGCCCAGGGGAGGGGGCCCGTCACCAAATACAGATACAATTCACGTGTTGTTTTTTTTCTATTTTGTTTTTCTTAGGGGAGGGGGCCCCCTCCCTGGATCCGCCACAATGCGGTCGGATTGACCGCATTAATCTGTTCCCAAAATCTCCGGTAAAGGGGTTCTTTTCACGCAACAAAGTCCGGCCCGTATTGACTTATACACATTGGAGATAGAGTGTGCTTTCACAATTCCGGCCCGTATTGACTTTACACACTGGAGATAGGGGGTGCTTGCAAAGGGATGGAACAAGAATGCGCGTACCATATGCTAACACTTAGTGGGGGGTGGGGGGGGGGTCCCTCAAGCCCCGGAGTGATGGGGTAGGGCCGGGGGCGGAAGTCAATTGCCATTCATTTACACGTAACATATAAAACAATAAATCACCGCGCGGCGGTTTACCGCACCATATCTCAGCAAGCCTACATTCAAATAATTTATGCGAGTGAGTTTAAATACATATAACTTACTGCTGACTTGGACCACGAAGCTACAGGTGTCATTAAGCCCAGCCTGATCACGGGCCACAACAGACACCGCAGTAACACCAGGATTAAATCTGCTACCAGGCTCAGGGGAATAGGTTACGGAAGCACCGACATTGTCAGATACATTAGCAGAATATTGGATGACATTGGTCGAACTCTCTGTGATATCTGCCGGGCAGGTCACGTTGGGTTTTTCTATATCTATTTAGATTCAATGATAATAATGATTATAATAATAAAAATATAACTGGCATTTATAGTAGACTCCACATAATATACAACTTTATTACAGCGTTTTTTTAAATAAATGACACGTGATATTTAATTGAACTTCAAATAAGTACAGAAAGGAGATATGATATTACACATAAATAATCATCGCGATGTACTAACTAATGTAGCAATCACAAGAATTTAATTCAAAATGATGATATGGATCATAATCATATTACCAATGATGAGGTTGTTGAAAATAACAATTATACTTCTACTACTATACTACTACTACTACTACTATTAATAAATAAATACAATAACAAATGATGATAAAAAAAGACAAATAGCGATAAGATATTACCATTAATAATTGTATCATGAATATAGTTATAATATAGCAAACAAAAGCAACACTCATGACACCAATAATGACCACAATAATAACAATAATAGCAATATAACGATAACAATAATAATAATCGTAATCACAATCAAAATTGTTTAACATAATGATGGTAAGTATATTAATGATAGAAATAACATTGAAAGTGAGTATAATTTATTGTTATGACCATCATTACCATTATATTACAGGGGCGGATATAGCTTTTTGCTAAGGGGGGTTTGACCCAATGACGATGCGGCGAGGCGAAATTTTTGGGGTGCTATTTTGAAACCACTTAAGTGATGTTTTCCTGGCATCTATACGTGTTTCTATGCACATCACATTTTTATTACCCCCCCCCCCCCCCCCCCCGTAGATCCGCCAATGTATTGTCATTATGATGATTATCATTAAGATAAGTCAGACATTTTCTTAGTTCAAACAACCTACCCTGTACAACAATATACCCTATGCACGTCTTACTCAGCACCTCATCCGAAATCAAGACTGTGTCTAGATGGGTACCGACATCTAGCTTGCTACCAATGGCCGTTGTAGGATCCACAGAAACTGCATCTCCGTGGTATCTGTACCCGGAAGTGGACTTTGTGACGTCACTGGCCTCTATGGAAGGGGTGTAAGAATATGTGGGCAGTCCCATGTCAGTGGCGACCGTTCTGTTCAGGTCTGGGCAATTCACTGGTAGCTCAGTCACTATACAGAGGAAGGAAAACAAATCGAGTTATTCATTTACTTGGGAGCAAGTTAGACGGGGTGGTTTTGAAATAGAGGTCCGAGCTAGAAGAGTAGATAGAAGCTATTATCTTTTGGGGTAGTAGCTCATCAGGGGCTTAGGGCTCTTGTATTGATTTTCTACATTGGCCCCCCCCCCCAACTCAGTGTTATTTAGGGTACGCATATGCTCGTTCCCTCTTTTTGAAAGCACCCCCTATCTGAGGACTGCCAACATTTCCGAACCCCCCTTTCGCGGGCTTTTCGCGGGCTTTTCCTGCCTTGGAGACCCCCCTAAATCAGGAAAAATGCTCAATGTACCCCCCTAAATTCGGAATAATTTCTCAGGAGTCCAAAGAGATGAGAGAAAAAAAGAAAAAACACCCCCTTTTTAAAGAAATCTCCGGTGAAAAGTCAAATACACCCCTTTTTTTTTTACAATTCTCGGGCCGGAATTTGTCGCACGAAAAGTACCCCTTTACCGGACATTTTGGCAACACGCATTAGGAAAACATCTCATTTGAGCTCTGCTCACCAGTTCACCACTTTTCCTGGTGCTACCATAATCTGATAGGAGCACTGACCACTGATAAAGGGATTACCAGTAGGGTCCATGGGGAGAGAGACAGCGGTCAATCTTAGCTTAGTTACTGATAAAGGGATTACCAGCTGGTATCTGATATCCAGTCCAGATTCATAGTCTTCTCATCGCAGACCCTACACCTATATTTATAATAGGCCTGGATTCAGTGTGTCTAAAGTCTCACTTCATATTATTTTTTTTATAGCAAGTACTAGCTACTTTCTTTTACGTATAGAAGAGAACATTGATGTGCTTGGCAATGGAAAAATGCAGAAGGAAAATATAAAGGGAGGATAAAATAGGGAAAGACGGGTGATAATAAGGAAAGATGGAAATGGAGGGAAAGAAGGAAGAGAAAATAAAGAATAGCATAAGGAAAGATGGAAAAAGAAGATAAAAAGTTTAAAAAGAAATACATAAGGAAAGATGGAAACAGAAGATAAAGAAGGTTAGAAAAAAAATAAATACATAGAGAGAATAAAACAAGGTGAAAATAGAGGAATACATAAGGAAAGATGAAAAGATAAAATTAGGAGAAAATAAAGAATAACATAAGGAAAGATGGAAAAGGAAGATAAAAGAAGGTTTAAAAAGAAATACACAGGGAAAGATGGAAACAGAAGATAATGAAGGTTAGAAATAAAGAAATACATGAGAAAAGATAGAGAGAATAAAACAAGGTGAAAATAGAGGAATACATAAGGAAAGATGAAAATTAGAAAGACGGAGAAAATAAAGAAGGGCATAAGGAAAGATGGCTAAAGAAGATAAAATTAGGAGAAAATAAAGAAATATATAATGAAAATTAGAAAAGAGATGTTGAAAGAAGAAGAAAAATAAAGAATAATATCAGCCGAAAGGTATATAGAACAAAGGTGATAATAGTGAAAAACATGAGGAAAGATGGAAAGGAAACATGGAAAGGAAACATTGAGAAGATAAAGAAGTTAATTGGACAAATAAACTTTTAAAAAACCACCAACCAACATGCGTTAACTGGACCAAACTTTGATTGGTCATGTTGCTGCATAATAAGGGCGACTTGAAATAATCGCACTGTCACAAGTATTTTAGTTTTTCTGCATAAATATAATCATTACCTTAAAACATAAAGGTTAGATGTCTTATGTATTGAACCAAATCTTTAATAGGCAAGCTTGCCCAGTACCTCTTTGATCAAATGACACGGCGAATTTTTAAGAACACTAAAAGAAAATACACTGAAAAACGGCCGCTCAGAGTGCCGGGCGCATTCACGATACTGCATGTGGCAAGTTTTTTTCCGAATTGGGTGGTGGAGTAACGCCTTTAACATAGGCTATATTTGTCGACCTCACCCGACTTTCAAATGGAGAATCTCACTTTTCGGTGAACGGGGACCGAAATACCCCACTTGCGTGTCTGGTATTACAGACCGCTTTCTTTCCCGATATCTTCGCGTACACCAAGCTTCGTGAGAATGAGCAATCTCAGAATCTGGATGAATGTTGTCCTTGTAGTGTGAGGTTCATGAGTAATTATTGTTATAAACTCCGACATATAGTATGGATAATAATGTTTGTCAAGTTTATTGCGGACTTTGTCATCCTCATAAAAGTATTAGATCAAGTAAAAAGGCTTCAATTAAAATAGTTAAAAATGACCAGAAATCATTTCGATGTTAAGATATTTTTGACGCACTTCTCGTCATGATATTGAATTTATAACATACAACGAAACGAGGACATCATAATCATAAAGACGTTCGTTGTGCAGATATGTATTTGCTTATTAATACATACAGTGACAAAAAGAATAATGCGCTATAATCATGAGCAAAAAACCAAGAGGTTTCGGAGAATGGTAAAAAATCATCCGAGCAGTCAATTAGGCAATTCTTCAACAATCTTAAGTATCCAAAAGTGAAAAGGTTTAACTGTCGTAAATAAAAATGAGCTTGTCATAGAGATTTATCATACAAGTGAGCATCGAAATGTTTCTTTAATGAACTGCTATAAAATTTTGAAACCAAATACTCTTGTGCTGAAATTTCATATCCTCAGTATATCGAGAAGCATAATGTTCCATTATGGTTGCATCAACTATTGTAAAATAGATTAAGTCCTTCGATGTCTTGTAATGCCCTAATCACTCAGCTAATTATTATCTTTCTAAAGGATTGTAGATTTGAGAGTTTCTGTTTCTTTCGTGTGACATGCAATGGACATTCAATCATCACAGCTTGATGTGTTGTGGGGAAATAAATATTGTATCCTATACGTGTACAGATCATATTAAATCAAATAAAAGTTTGATGAAATTCAATTCTTATCTTGCCAGAATCATCATTTTTTTAAATACCGTCTTTATAACGAATTCCAAGAAATATGCCGTCTGCCTAAACAACCACCCCCCCCCCCCCCCTATTTCAAATTTGACGTCTGAGCCCCGGCCACTCCCTATTTTCAAATCCTTGATCTGCCGTTTGGGGGGGGGGGCAAGAAATAGGCAAGGAAAGTTGAGTAGACCTTCAGATTACGCACTGAATAAATGTAACGAAAACAATATTTACAACATTCTATTCTTGCTTTAATACCTCAAAAATATTTAACGGTCAAACCAACAAAATGTATGTTTTCCCGGCCTTTCCTTATAGGCCTAGGCCTACACCATTTTTCTAAACGCGTTCAAGTTTATTTCGTCTATGCGAATAAATTTGGTGGCGGAGTAACGCCTTTAACAGAGGCTATATTTGTCGACCTTACCCGACTTTCAAATGGAGAATCTCACTTTTCGGTGAACGGGGACCGAAATACCCCACTTGCGTGTCTGGTATTACAGACCGCTTTCTTTCCCCGATATCTTCGCGTACACCAAGCTTCGTGAGAATGAGCAATCTCAGAATCTGGATGAATGTTGTCCTTGTAGTGTGAGGTTCATGAGTAATTATTGTTATAAACTCCGACATATAGTATGGATGATAATGTTTGTCAAGTTTATTGCGGACTTTGTCATCCTCATAAAAGTATTAGATCAAGTAAAAAGGCTTCAATTAAAATAGTTAAAAATGACCAGAAATCATTTCGATGTTAAGATATTTTTGACGCACTTCTCGTCATGATATTGAATTTATAACATACAACGAAACGAGGACATCACAATCATAAAGACGTTCGTTGTGCAGATATGTATTTGCTTATTAATATACAGTGACAAAAAGAATAATGCGCTATAATCATGAGCAAAAAACCAAGAGGTTTCGGAGAATGGTAAAAAATCATCCGAGCAGTCAATTAGGCAATTCTTCAACAATCTTAAGTATCAAAAAGCGAAAAGGTTTAACTGTCGTGATAAAAATGAGCTTGTCATAGAGATTTATTATACAGGTGAGTATCGAAATGTTTCTTTAATGAACTGCTATAAAATTTTGAAACCAAATACTCTTGTGCTGAAATTTCATATCCTCAGTATCGAGAAGCATAATGTTCCATTATGGTTGCATCAACTATTGTAAAATAGATTAAGTCCTTCGATGTCTTGTAATGCCCTAATCACTCAGCTAATTATTATCTTTCTAAAGGATTGTAGATTTGAGAGTTTCTGTTTCTTTCGTGTTACATGCAATGGACATTCAATCATCACGGCTTGATGTGTTGTGGGAAATAAATATTGTATCCTATACGTGTACAGATCATATTAAATCAAATAAAAGTTTGATGAAATTCAATTTTTATCTTGCCAGAATCATCATTTTTTTAAATACCGTCTTTATAACGAATTCCAAGAAATATGCCGTCTGCCTAAACAACCACCCCCCCCCCTATTTCAAATTTGACGTCTGAGCCCCGGCCACTCCCTATTTTCAAATCCTTGATCTGCCGTTTGGGGGGGGGGGGCAAGAAATAGGCAAAGAAAGTTGAGTAGACCTTCAGATTACGCACTGAATAAATGTAACGAAAACAATATTTACAACGTTCTATTCTTGCTTTAATACCTCAAAAATATTTAACGGTCAAACCAACAAAATGTATGTTTTCCCGGCCTTTCCTTATAGGCCTAGGCCTACACCATTTTTCTAAACGCGTTCGAGTTTATTTCGTCTATGCGAATAAATTTGGTGGCGGAGTAACGCCTTTAACAGAGGCTATATTTGTCGACCTTACCCGACTTTCAAATGGAGAATCTCACTTTTCGGTGAACGGGGACCGAAATACCCCACTTGCGTGTCTGGTATTACAGACCGCTTTCTTTCCCGATATCTTCGCGTACACCAAGCTTCGTGAGAATGAGCAATCTCAGAATCTGGATGAATGTTGTCCTTGTAGTGTGAGGTTCATGAGTAATTATTGTTATAAACTCCGACATATAGTATGGATGATAATGTTTGTCAAGTTTATTGCGGACTATGTCATCCTCATAAAAGTATTAGATCAAGTAAAAAGGCTTCAATTAAAATAGTTAAACATGACCAGAAATCATTTTGATGTTAAGATATTTTTGACAATTTTAGACAATATCATATTTAATTGTGTCCATGTACTATATCGAACTAGACAATTATGATGAAACTTGAAAGGAACATAATTATAACCAGGAAGTTCCTGATATAACTATGCTTATAAAGTGAAGCAAGGAAGATGAAACTGGCATCTCCCATGTATACTGGTAGCTATGAGAATGGACAAAATCCGAACCTATATGAGACTGCGAATAAGACTAGAACATCATGGAGGAGTTCCAAGCAGTACTTATCAAGGTTGGGCTGGTGATGTCCTGGCAAAGTTTGTTTACACTGCAGATTAGGGACTCTAACTCTCTCTTGCTCCGTGGTGAGCTTACCACCAAAATGCACCCCACTTTCGGGTCCAAAGTGGGGTGAAGTTTAAATGGACTGTTTTCGTCATGCGCATGCGGTCATTTCGAAACCTGAGTGGGGGGCCGGGCATTGGCCTCGCGAAATATTTGAGGGCTTGAAGTTTTTTTTTTAAGGGGTGGAGCTTCAGCTGCCCAGAACCCCCCCCCCCCCCCCCTCCCCCCAGCAACAAAAAATCCCTTTAGAACTGCTACTTCAAATAAGGTCTAAAATTACATTAATTGTATGCACAAACTTTTGAAATTGAATGCATTACATCCAGTCACACGGTCACACCCTCCACACCAACCCCCAAAATGCCAAATGCGGTCATAATAAATATCAAACTAGAACGCAAAACGGAACTGATAACTATAAAATCAGCTCGCAATATTTTATCTGACGCACACAATGGATGACATATCTAGGTTAATTCCCGTACCGGCTCATTGGTTTCATAAAGTGTTAGGCCAAAAAATACTCTTTTGTTCAACCGTTCTCTCACTCAGTTTGCCAAATATACAATTTAGAATACTGCTGCTGGTAATTGTTAACCTCCCCAACAATCCAGTCATATGTCTGGTTCTTAAAGTACTCCATTGTTTTATTGTGTTCGTGGCACTGTTCAATATAACAATATTTCTTTGGTGAATCGCTACAAACCTGCCAGACCTTTACGTTCTCAAAACTCTGGATTGCTTCTTTTTCCCAAACTTAATACAAAGCGGGGGAGAAACCCCCCCCCCCTCACACCCCCTCTCAGTATTATTAAGGGTACGCGTGCATGTTCCCTCTCTTTGAAAACACCCCCTAAGTCCGGTGTGTAAAGTCAATACGGGCAGATTTTTTTTGGTGTGTATTACGAGCCGGACTTTTGTTGCGTGAAAAGTACCTCTTTACCGGACATTTTGGGAACATGAATGCGGTCTCTCCGACCCCGGAAGCGTTTTTTTCTTCTGCGGCACAGATTGGGGCTTTAAAAAAGGGTCTTGATTTAACCCTGACCCTAACCCTAACCCTAAACTTTCCCATAGGCTCAACACGCACCTAACCCCGATTTGTGCCGCCGAAAAAAATAACGCACCCCGGAGCTGGGGGGGGGGGAGCCTTTGCTCGTGGGCTATTGATCCATTTCGATACTTACGCGTATTTTCCACGTAGAAAAGACATGTCGCCTCGTTATCAAATATGTCGACCGCGTACATCGTCACCGGGGTGCGTCCGGGCGGGAACAGATCTCCGCTTGGTCCTTTGGTTACGTTATAAGTAACCCCACTGGGATCAGGGTTTGAATCCTCGTACGTGTATTCAACACCCGCATTCAGTCCAAGAAAACTGTTCGGTAAAAAGGGCCTCGTTGTGACGTCAGTACACGTCACATTCGGTGGAGTGGTATCTGGATCTAAATTGAGAAGAAAAAAAATAATAATGAATTTTCCGGGGGCATAATAATGCCTTTATTTGTGTCCTAACAATAACATTTATATTGACTGGATATTTATTTGTTATACATATATTGAGCAACTGCGAACAATTAAAGCTTATCTGTACTATTTTATAGGAGGGATTAGACCACCCTGCAAGGTCACTGGACAGGTGGTTATCTCATCAACTCAGCTCTCAATTAACATAAGAAAAAGAGGATCATGGGGGACCAATGGTCACCGATTAGGCATTGTTTTCTATATAGAGGGAGCAAGTAGCTACACGTAGGACAGTGTGGCTTTAATAGCCAATTCACATCAACATATACTTTTAGGCAGCTGCATGGTCACACCAGCATTCCCTGCAAGGGGTGTCGCAAATAGACCAATCAAATTGGTTTGCTCAGATGATGTTATGTATCCCCAATCTATTTATTCAAAAAAGTGGGTAAACATGTCTAACATAACATAATGTAACACACAAGGCAATGGTATGAAAGTGTATGAACGTTATGCCGTATTAACATAAGTTGCCACATGTTAGGGATGGTCCCATGAACATTGAAAGGAGATATTCACAATATATAGTCATTGACTACTGTAACAATAATTATTTCTTTAAAAACAACAAGAATTTAGAATTCGTCATCCCGTTTGAGAAGGAACGCACAAGGAAAGCAAACGAGGCAAAGTTTGATTTTAATTTGGATTTTAATTGGATGTGTTCCTTGCGTCAGTGTCTTCTTCCTTGCTATAATACTTTCTGGTATTGATTTTCTGGTTAAATATTTCTGGACCTTTAAAGCATATCTGCACACGTTTGGCCAGGAAGGATTAGACCTCCTTGCATGGTCACTGACAGGTGGTTAGGCCTATCTCATCAAATCAGCGCTCAGTTAACATAAGAAAAAGGGGACAATGAGGGACCAACGGGTACCGATAAGGCATTGTTCGCTATATAACAGAACCCTTATATCAATGGCTGTGAATAGAGCAATCTAGCCATCGATTTATTTTATTTTTGATTTGGATAATTATTGTTTACGTTCACATGTGTATTTAATATGTATATGCATGTACATGTATGTAATCAACCAATACACGGTGTACTGTATTTTAACAAGAAGAATAAAAAATAAATGTGATTGTAAAATTTCAGACGGTTCCAAAGTTGAAAAAGAAACTCTTAGAGCAGGTTATGATAACAATAATAATAATAAAAACTTTACTTATAAAGCGCTTACCACCGAAGTCTCTAAGCGCTGTAACAATGATGGATAACCGCACAATAAAGACAGTTTCTATTCAACTCCAAATACACTTTGACTCATAAATTTGGAATGTTTTTTGTTTAAACCTCTTTTCGGGAAAAGAAATGATTATGAAAATAATGATTTATATCTTTTAGGAACTATAGAGTTATCTCTCTGTGACTTTTTAGATTGATCAATACATTTTATGAGAATCTTAAACCTTTATCTATCGAGAATATACTAGCCTAATGATGTAGTCAGAATCATTGTATAAAAAAAGGTTATACAAAGTTATCCCAACTTCATTGAAGAAAAAATCTTTTACTCCAAATATAAAGTTGACTATCCCTTTAACTTACCTTCTCCTTGTGCGATATGAACCGTGAATGCCATGAGCGCCACCGTAAACAACCAAGCTGGCATACCACACCATCTTCCGCTACCATCCATTCTGTGCAACTCTGGAAGTTATAAACTTTGCAAGTTAGACCTCTATGTCCAGATTGTCATTGAGTTTTGTCGATGTATTCACAATGGTTCAGAGTGACATGCATCTCATTGTATGTATCATATGTGAATGATATGTAATACAAATATTGCGGATCGCGTGCACCAGCCTGCATGTGTGAAGATCTATATTTGACGTAAACACCATACATGGTTATTGTTCAATAGTGCAGCTAGGGATTTTTATGCGGGTTATGTCCATAAAAGGATGACTGAATGTGAAGTTCACAGCGATTACATGCATGGGGAGCGGTACATTATTAAGGTGGATTAAGGTTTGGCGGGTTGGTTGAGGGGGTGCGCCACTCCCCCCCCCCCCCCCCGCAACCCACATCTGACGTAATTATCCTAAGAAAGAAAATGTACCCATCCCTTTTTCCTTGTTGTGCTCCCGGCTTCTAATTTAGACCATTGGTTAGTTTTTTTCCCATTGTTTTACGGTTACCCCCCCCCCCGGCCCCACCCCCTCCCCACCTCCTCTCAGAGAATCACTGGCGTACCTATGGGGGGGCAGGGGGGCAGAGTGCCCCCCCCCCCTGACGGGCTCCAGGGGAAAAAAGAAAAAGGGGAAAGAAAAGAAAAGAAAGGAAAGGAAAGAAAAAGAAAAAAAGGAAAAGGGAAGAAAAAAAGGAAAGAAAGAGAAAAAAGGAAAAAAAAGGAAAAGGAAAGAAAAAAGGAGGAAGAAGAGAAAAGGAAGAAAAAGGAAAGAAAAAAAATGGGGAAATTTAAAAAAAAAAAGACCGTACGCACCAGGGGAGGGGGGCAGTTGACCCCAGATATTTTGAAAACGTACAGTTTTTTTCCTGAAAATGTAGTGTAGGCCTATACCAAATCCTTCAATTCTACTTTTGAAAATGCAAAAGTATCATGACCAGTTCGGTCGCTCGAACTCCCTTCACTCCTTTTGCTTTTGAGATTCTTCGAAAAAATTTAACGCATCTTTCCCCCTCCCCCACCAAATAAATATTCCGCATACGGCCCTGAAAAATTAAGACAAATGAAAATAGGAAAATATAAGTGATATAACAAATTCGAAACTCTTCGCTGGCGCGAACTGCTTGCTAGCCTATTTTGTATTAAATGTTTTCACTTGTTCGTCCCCCTGAAAAAAGAAAAGGATTAGCATTGCCTAGAATACAATTGTGCCTGCCCCGACGGGCCCCGACCTGCAACCATGGCAACAATAACACACAATGTATGTACCAAATGTTACTAAAAGAGACTAATTCATTTTTCTCGCTCGCGAATAAAATGAATAGACATTGCTTTGGAAACAATTGTGCCCACCCTTGACCTGCAACAATATCATTACAAATGGAAGAGTTTTTTCGCCCTCTCGCCAAAAAGGAATTGAATCGCGTTAAACGCGATTGCGTCCATCCTGACCTGCACCAATAAAAACAAGTTTATTTATTAATTTCTATTAAAAGAGAATTTTTTTTGCTTGCTTGCTCGCTATGCTCGCTCGCAAAAATGGAATTGACACCGCTAACGTGCCCGCCCCAACCTGCAACAACCAGTTAATAATTATGTACCAAACGTTATTCAAAGAAGTTTTGGTGTGCTCGTGCTCGCCAAAACGGAAGTAACATCACCTTAGACATCATAGGCGCCGGAAGTGGGGGGGGGGGCAGGGGGGGCAGTTCCCCCCCCCCCAATCAAAAAAGTGGGGGGGGGGCAAAACGCATTTTTGCCCCCCCCCCCCCCCCCCAAAAAAAAAAAAAAAAAAAAACGCCCCCCCCCCCCCTCCAAAAAAAAAGGCCCCCCCCCCTCCAAAAACAAAAACAGTAAAGGAGTAAACATGGTTTGTATTTTTAACCCAAAAGAACATAACAATAATAAAAACCTGAATTCAATCATATATACAATTCCATTCAAAGAAATGGAAAGTTCACAGGAATTAAATTTCATAAACATTGCGCGTGCCACCTATACGGTATTTATCAATGGAGGTCTTTATAATAGCGATACGCGCATATCGTGGACATATTGTGCGAGAATGGGAAAGCGTGTATGTTTTTTGTTATAGGGGTGAGAAGACATGAGCCCCTGAACGCTGGCGTACTGATGGGGGGGGGGTGTATTTGTTATTCGATACCAGTGATTTACAAATGTTGCTGTTATGACATGATTTTCCGGTATTTTTTCTCCATTTTTTTGTAAGTCATACCTTTTTATGCGTTTGTTGGAAAATAAGAAATTCCCAAATTACAGTCGGGCGAAAAATACGCTTATTTAGAAGGCCGCCCCTCACTTTTTGAAAAAGTATGTTAGGGAGAAAAAGAAAGAAAGACGGAGAGAAAAAAAAAAGTGACCTGCCAATGTTACAAATATGGTATACAAAAATGCTCATCTGACTGTAATTAAATGCCTAAAACCCCAAAGCTAACGGGGGTTCCGCCCCCGAGCCCCAACAAGGGCCCTAAGGCAGTCCCCTGGATACTCATCTGACCGTAATTAGTCCCTAAAACCCCTGAGCTTCCGGGGGCTCTGCCCCCTGGACCCCACCAAGGGCCCTATCGCGGACCCCTGGATGCTCATCTGACCGTAATAAATTACCCAAAACCCTGAGCTTCCGGGGGCTCTGCCCCCTGGAGCCCACCAAGGGCCCTAAGGCGGGCCCCTAGATGCTCATCTGACCTTAATTAAATACCTAAAACCCCTGAGCTTCCGGGGGCTTTGCCCCCTGGACCCCACCAAGGGCCCTAACGGCGGCCCCTGGATGCTCATCTGACCGTAGTTAGATATTGAAACCTCTGAGCTTCTGGGGGCTCCCCCCTGAAACACGTCAATTGCCTTAAAGAGGGTCCCTGGATGCTCATCTCACCGTACTTAAATACCTAAAACCCCAGAGCTTCCGGGGGCTCAGCTAGTTGAACCCCTGCCGAGGCTCATGCCCTGGACCCCACGCCAATATAAGCTCTACCTGATCGTTAATACTCCACTTTGAAAAACGTTCCGCGGGACCTGCATGTAACGTGTAAGACTGGTGGTGATGCAGATTTTTCGTCTGCCCCCCCCCCCCTTCCGAACGTTTTTTCTCATTACGTCACTGCCCCTGGAAGGTGAGCCCCCTGGAATGATTGCCACTCCAATCCCAAACTGCTTCCGGCGCGCCTGTTAGACATGATTGTGTGAGCCCTGACCTGCAACAAAAAAATCTGAAATTTGTGAACCAATTATCATCACAAAAATTTTGCTCGCTCGCTACGCTCGCTCGCCAAAATAGAAATAACACCGCTTTTAATAATCACGTCCCTGACATGGAACAATGAACGCAAGTTTTATGTACCATATTTTCCCTATAAAAGAGAAGTGATTTTTTTTTTGCTCGCTCGCTACGCTCGCTCGCCAAAATAGAAATAACACCGCTTTTAATAATCACGTCCCTGACATGGAACAATGAACCCAAGTTTTATGTACCATATTTTCCCTATAAAAGAGAAGTGATTTTTTTCGCTCGCTAGCTCGTGGAATTATGTGCCCACCACTAACCTGCTACAATATCATTAAAAAGATAAATGTAGGAGGTTGCCTGCCCGCCTAAATGGGATTGACATTGCCTTAAACACGATTGTGCCCGCCCCCGACCTGCAACAATGAAACAAATTTTATATAGCAATTCATCGAGAGAGATTTTTTTTCGCTCGCTAGCTAAGATGGGTATAAAATCACCCTAAACAAAATATTGTTCCCGCGCCCTGCATGGGACAATTGAACCAAGTTTAAGTGGCAATTATTAAAAAAGAAGTGATTTTTTTTTTCTTGCTCGCTACGCTCGTTTGCAAAAAAATGAAATTAACGTCGCTAACAAGTGAATGTTCCCACCCCAACTTGCAACAATACCAGTTTATATACCAAACGTTACTTAAAGATTTTTTTTGCTCGCTCGCTCGCCAGAAGTGAAAATTAGCATCGCCTTTTTTGTTTGTTTCGGTCGCTTGCCCCCCCCCCCCCCCCCTGACGGAGTACCCCAGGTACGCCACTGCAGAGAATCATGCATGATTCTCTGAGAGGAGAATCATGGATCCGCTACTGGGTGGGACAGATATCGATCATACACGTCATAATAACAAGCTAGGGCCAGCCGTTTTCTCTTTTTATTCGGTTGTTCCGCACACCGATATTCTATTTCGATATGAGGAAATTGAAATCTATATTACAAAATCGGATCAAGTGAGAATTAAACACCACCAGTCCAGTGGGACTCAAGACCACAGTCAGTATTATAGTACGGGGGAGGAGGAGGCAATTCATCCGTTCGACTGAAACCGTGTTCTCGCCGCCTTTCCATCCCGTTATAAGTAAATAAACTGTGGTTTTTCATGTTATTATGTCCTTATTTTTCTTCTCATGAGAGCTATTGTCATGATTGGTAGACGGAGTACAGTTAAATATTGATTCGAGTGAATCATATAATAATATCACATGTCTGGCATACCATCGACATCGAGTCATACCTTTCATACGTCATCAATATCTTTTCAACTGGATTCTGCATGAATAAAAAAACAACAGGAAATTGGAAAGAGGAACACGCTGCCAAGTTGGCGGTCAATTAACTTTTGTGTAATTAAAATATGCCTCTCTCTATTTAGCCCATTTCCACCAATCAAATACGCTGTTAGAACTTCAACGGAGGAAAACATATCAAGTGAACCGCAACCTGCGAAAGCCGCTGTCAGAAAGCCTTGAGATAATCTGAGTAATAACGTTTCTTATCTTTTTGAAGTGACATTGTATTTTTTTTTAAAGTTATGTTATATAAGTATATATATATATATATATATATATATATATATATATATAAGTATAAGGAAAATTGAAGAAAAATAGTTAACCATGCATGTCGCCTTACAATTATTGTTTAGTTGTATGCCATAACAACATCGGTAATTTAAATTGAATGTTATTCACAGAAGGGCTATCACACACTGTACGTACCATTTTTCTTCAAATTTCATTTATAACTAAAACTCAACAAATTGAATGTTTACATTTGAACCACAACAATAAATCAACACAATATAGATACGAATGAGAAGAAGAAAAGGGAAGTACAGAGAAATAAAACATCACACAATCCCCCCCCCCCCCCCCCCCCCCCATTGATCGTCTGGGACTTTTTACCAGTTATGAATTGTTAACGGTTTCAATATTCGTCAATACGTTTTTAACTCTATAATGATAAATCTCAATGTCATTTGAAACCAAACGCGATTAAAATCTGCACCACACCCATTCATGAAATATTTATGACCACATGGCAATTTAAAATTAACATAAGGCACGTTCACATGTACGCGAGAAAGTGAGGTCTGGACCGAGATCCAAACCTTTATTTTTCTCAACGTGTGCATAACCCCACCTATTGCCTTTAGATACGTTTGGAACCGAGCCAATATCCTGGTTAGGAATAATCAAACGCGGGGTGAACCGGTAACATTGTTGGAGGTTGATGACAAAAAAAAATGCAAATATTTTGCATGAAAGGTTAATCGATATGACATGAAAGATATGATTTCTTTGAAGGCGTCAAGGTGTAACTCCCCCTAACAATGTATTCTCCCAACCAATTTTTGAATTATCCCAACCGTTTTTCTATGAAATAATACATAAAACAGGCTTTAAAAAAATATCTTTCAACACCTAAATGTAGGAATGGTATATAGACATACAGCCAATTCATTGCTTTGTGATGATTTACATTTTCACTCAAAATTTCAGATTATCTTTGATTGCACATCTAGCATTGAAGTCACTACGTTAGCATCATTTTCTCTCATCTGCCAAGTCCCTTTAAACTAATAATACTAGTCAATAAGATGTGTTAAGTCTAGCAGAGTCTAGCATATAGTCGACATGTCCATAAAAGTCTATTGCAAATAATCATGTTTGTGGTATATTGCTATAAAATGTTCGTTAAAGGAAACATCACTCCAAAGAATAAGTGTAGGCATTATAAAAATTGAAATGTATTCCTGCCCTTTGATGTACAAAATTCCTTACAAAAATGTACAGGAGATAATATAAAAATGAAGATATTCTTGGCATGATTTTATGCATTTTTAGCATGACATGGCCGCAGCCATTTGCTTGAAAACGTGACGTACCAGTTGAATTTGTAAATGTATCATGCACCAAGCTTTAGTTGGAAAGACTTTTTAAATTAATAACTTTTCAAAAGAGGAAAATCATAGCTGAGAAGATATAAATTATATTTGGTGAAAAATAGATAGCAGGGGAACAATATTGTAACTAATTTATATAGAAATACTAACATATAGCAGTTAACAGATCTATTTCATTTATGAGAAACCTCCACCACAGAAGAGCACCAACTTATTAATGCAATTTTCGTTCTGGCAATTGTAGTACAAAGGATAATAGCAGGTGAATGAAATGCTTCATCACAACACACACCTGGGAAGGAAGCATCCATAAATTTGAATGCATTTATAATTTTTGAATGCAAGAAAATAGATGCCCATGTCGTGCTGAGAAACTGTACATTGTTCTTGCTTTATGCCTCTTTTATACACTTTGGTGGGGAATCTTGTAGATTGATGGCAAGAATGTAATAAATCTCTCAGAATAAATAAAGTTATCTATTGGGGTGAGGTTTCCTGTAAGGTGCTGGGAAAGGGGTTAATAAGGGCCATAAAGTTATTGGGAAGAGACATCCTCACCCCACCCCCTTCTTAGAACTCGAAATTATTACATCAGATTTATAATTTCAAACGTGTTTTCCTTTTCCCTAATTCATGATAATGATTATAATATAGTGATACATACGAAGCATATACTCACAGAAACGTCTTCAGTGTGTTGAATTTAAGTTAGCAATAATGAAAGGCTGATCGACTCGAAAATAAATGACCTATCCCAAATAATGATGATATAGATACGAGTTATCCAAAATTAAATCCGTTGCTTTCCGTTGATGGTGTCACTTTATGACATGTATATATAGGCCTTCAATGTTTATCTAAACATCCGTATATAATATGTGCGGTATGTTTATGTGAATGTTGCATTGCGTATGTGTGGGTGTAGACAGTTGCGGTGTTAGTGTGGGTGTGTGTTTGATGCGGAATATAAGCCTTTCCTTCCCACTTCACGCACATGCCATGGCTGCATAAACTTCTTGCACTATCGTGGCACTAGGAGGGTTAATCTACTTCGATTAATGTTATAACTTCGGTAGAAATGTGCGTGTAGTAACTCGATGCTGGAAGACGTATCTTACTTGTTCAAACCCTATATTAGAATTTATAAATTTACGGAAGGACGTCTTTTGTACATGGTTCCCTGATTCCTCTTTTGGGAGCTACTGTGGCGTTGGCGGGGGTAATTGTGGCGGTAAAACCCCATGATTAAGGTGGATTACACAACAAAGGATATTAATACTAGTTAAGGTTCAAACGTGGGCACACGAAGGATGCATGTGGCCGCGCCTCAAACTTGTAATTAATGTGTTGATATGGAAAACATACAGTTGATGACCGGCCGTACGTGTAGTAGCGATGACGACACAATGACAATGACTAAAGCCTCTCAGTGTAAACATGACGACACAATTAATAATTGAACAAAATATCCATTGTATAATGTTTTGTGCCCCCCCCCCCCCCGTCTTGTATTCGTTCCTCTCTTTCTCTCTCTCTGACCTTTTTTTTCCTTCTTCTTCTCAGGCTTCTCTCTCTCTCTCTCTCCCTCTCTCTCTCCCCCTCTCTCTCTAGCTAACTCGATCTCTCTTCCCCTCACTCTCTCTCTCTCTCTCTCTCTTTAACTATAGCTCTCTCTTTCTCTCACTCTCTCTCTCTCTTTCTCTCACATACACACAATGATGCACGCGTACAGTTTCCCTCTCTTCGTATTTTCTTTTTCTTTGTATGATCACAATAATTTACTATGCTTTATTGAAAATGAAAATATAAAGAAAATGCATGTACGTGTAATCATTGTGTATTCTACCTGATGACTAACTTAGAAGAAATTCAAGAAAAAATATACAATATAAGTATAAAGAAAAAAGGCCCCCCCCCCCCCCCGAAAAGTAAATAAACATTGCATGAGCTAGGATAAATGATTAATAGATAAATAAGTTAAACAAATTAACAACACACACGACTTAATAATTTAAGATTAGAAGTGGAAAGATGATTTAGTAATTTACCAATCAGAACATAATTGTGGGTAGCCTAAGCCTATACGATAATGAGTTATAAATAGGGGGAACTTATCGAGTGAAAAGACCCCCAAATGGAATGGGAGAGAGAGAGAGAGAGAGAGATAGAGAGAGAGAGAGAGAGAAAGAGAGAGATGGGGGGAGAGGGGGTCGAGAGAGAGAGAGAGAGAGAGAGAGAGAGAAAGAGAGAGAAAGAGAGAGATGGGGGAGGGGGTCGAGAGAGAGAGAGAGAGAGAGAGAGGGGGGGGGGGGGGGACAGACATGCATAATAGAGCCAATTTGCATGTACATGTACGTATTTGTGTTCTGAAAAAGGACGACTTTTTTAGAGGTTCATGTGTGGCATTCCTTAAATATGGTTAACAAACATGATTAGGGATTTGTCCCAAGCTCAAGGAAGCCTAGAAAAAAACATAATAATAATCATAGCCATAAAATTGGTGTTAGCCCACTGTTAGGGTTAGGGTTCGGCTAGATAACACTATTCGGGGGGGGGGGGGAGCAGTTTATAAAATGCATAGACTACATAAAAATAAGCTCCACATTTCGCGTTTCATAATCGTTTATACGCACGCAGGATACGTGGATTCTGAAAGAAGCTGCCGGTAAAAAGAGGTTTGCCATCCTGTAGGTCTACCACCAGCATTTACTGATATTGGACCTAGAAAGTCGACAACTAGGAGGAGCAGCTTATTTCAGAAGATCTGGCAATTCGAGGTTAGTATTCAAATCCTCGGCTTTTAAAGCTTCCATCAATTGTGTGATGTACCCGCGGTAGAGCTAGAGTGGGCGTGACGTGGCCTGGGTGCATTTGACCCTCGGACCCGGCCCCGGCCCGACGGCTCGATCCGCTGCTGATGGCTGACGGATGCCTGAGCTGAGTCGACGCACTCCACCCCAGCTCAGCTCAGCTCAGCTCGGCCTAGGGTTATATTTTAGCGCTTTACTATAAAGTAAAGGAGTGACGTTGGGCCAATCACGCTTCAAGATCAGGCAAAGCGCTATTGTCTTATAAGAAAGAAAGAAAGAAAGAAAGGTGAAGTTGGTAGTGAAATAAAATTCCTAACAAAACTCTTTGGATTCATTGATTGTGTCTTTTTTTACCCCCTCCTATAGCGAATGGACGAGTGGGTTGAACTGGATTCCCCCCTGTCTGACCTTGTGTAGTGTTCTGGATATCTTCTTGTCACTCGTCCTCATTTGTCAGTTTGGGAACAAATATATTGGGGGCTGTAGCTTTCTTTCATAATGGAGCTGGGCCTAAGGCTAAATAAAAGAAAGCTACAATGCCAATTTCATTATTAGGACATAACTAATGTATACTTTTGTTCCACCCCCCCCCCCCCCCTTTTTCTTTATCTCTGTCGCTCCATCTCTCTGTCTCTGTCTTTTTGTTAAATTTATGAACACTTTTTCTTCTTTAAATCTGATTCAGGTCTGCATAAAAGGAGCAATTATCTTCTAACCAGAAAACCCAGCTTCACCCAAGGCTGAATGGAACTGGACGGTTGGTGTACTAAGCCTACAGCAATGACTGGTATCAAGAGTCAACAGATCTATGCCGGAAAACCGGGTTGCTGCAGTAGAGGTTCTGTAACCACCAATGGAGGATTCTGATGATCCTGATCTTTGAACATACTTGTTTTTGTGAAGATTTATTACTCGTATTAGGGTTATGTTCCATTCATGCACAACATTTGATTTGGTGTCTGAACAGTTGGATACCATAAAATGGGGAGGTTATCCACTTGCAAGTGTTTTTGCAAGCCGTTCATTTTCTGTGGAACAAAGTCTGCTTCTCTCTGTCGCAGTCAAAAGTGGAGGAAATTTCTCGTTGCCGTGTTTGCCGTCTACTTCCTGACGTTCTGCATTGTCCTGCCAATCCTATGCCGTGACTTGCCGTTGACAAAGTACTACAGCCTCGGGCGGGATACTTCTAAACAACACAGACTATTAAAAGCCATAGATATCAACGGCATCAATGCTGACAATGCCGAGAAACGGTTAGCCAGGATGTCAAAGGTTGCGACGAAGCAGCTGTATGAGGAGTCAATGAGAAAGGGTAAGCTCAGGTTTGTGATCGTTGTTCAAACTATCCCAAGGCTTGCACGGCCGTCTCCTCGTTATCTTACCCAGCTGATGGTTGCCCTACATGATATCCTGCAGGACTCTGGAGGCGTGGAAGAAACGGCTCTGTTCATATGTAACACCAAGAGACCCTCTACCAGTGTACACAAGGAAGCCGTAGCTTTGGCCGAATACTTCCCAATGGTGCAGACGTCGCTCGGTCAAGAGCTTAATCCCTACGAGCGAGAGAAGGAGGACTACCTTTTCTGTCTACGCGAGGCACAGAAACTTTCTTCAGAATACGTCATCCTTCTCCAAGACGATGCTCTTCCTCACACAGATTTCTACACAGTCTTGGATCATGTTCTGAAGCATCGAGTTGAAACGCAGATCCATCAAGGCGAGCTGCATTCAGACCGAGATGAATGGGTGTGGCTTAAACTTAACTTTCCAAACTCCCTTGCCAAGTATGAACGCAACTACTACTTTGCCTTAGAATGGGTTGCCGTTGGCCTTATAGGAGCATCATTTTTTGTATTCATCATGTCATTTATGCTGTCCTTTTGTTGTGTAATGAATACTGACAAACAAAAAATAGAGGTCCTACCGCAGTTCCTTGTGGGATTTGCATACTGCATGTTGTTTACATGGCTTCTAGGTAGACCTTACGTTACCCTTCCACTGACTCTCTCTAAGTCCTTCTACAAGCTTGGCCCAGGGACATCCTGCTGCTTGCCGGCAGTCCTGTACCCGCAAACACAATTGCAAGGCATCATCAGTTTCCTTGAAGCGGTCAAACTAGACAGTAAAAATCCGTTGGACTTTGCTTTGGACGATTATCGGGCCCAAAGCAAACTTCGTCAGTTCTTGATTACTCCAAACCTATTTTCTCATATCGGGGTGGTTTCAGCTCTCCATGGTAGACCCAATTATCGGGTGGCTGAGAATTATTTGTTCATTGTTAAAAACATGAAAACTCCTTTTTCAAATTGGTTCACACAAGACTAAATAGTTTAATTCAACTAAGCTCTTTAACAATTGCTACTTTAGAGGAATAATTCCCATTTTTCTGCCTCTAGCCTGATGTTATGAACCTATGGGGTATTGGATAGCTAATACACTCCATTATACAACTCACTCCCAGATCCTAATCAAATGATTGGTCATGCGCGGTCACGTGTGTGCGTAAATGGGTATAGAGGTAAGTGTTCCTGCTATATTTATGTGTGCGCTAAATTAAGCCTTAAACTTGAGATTTATTTGTCAGCACAATCTTGAATGAATTCCTTTTACAATAACAAGGACTTTGGAGTTTTGATGTATAAAACAAAGAATGCATGTTTTCATTCGTTCATTATACGAACTATCCGTCCTCGTTGATGCTGTGTGTATCTATTGCACTCAGCCTAACTGCTTTGTGCAATAGATACACACAGCCTCAACTCGAGTGTGGATAGATCGTATAATGAACTCATGCGCATGCATCATTTGTATATTGATGTTTTAAAAGGGTAATGTGCAATGTTGTACGTTATAACCCTTACAGCACACATGGGACCTTTGCTGTGCACGGCTTCTGTTTTCACTCCAACTTCCCATTTATTTAGCACATTCATAAAAAAGGGGCACAATTACTACAACAGGGGAATGTTTCACAAAGACTAAGATCAACTTAAAGTTTGACTAAAATAGGGCATGCCACTGGTTGCTCTCACCATTGGTCTCTCAATCTTTAGATAATGCTTTGAACTTCAATAATGAACTATCAGAAAAGGTAAATTCTGTAGATTTGTGACCAAATAGTGGCATGAATGGCCTGCCATACGTAGTTAAGTCCAACTTAAATTTGATCCTAGTCTTTGTGAAACAACCCCCACCCCCTCCCCAGATGTGAACAAGCCATGAGTTTATATCGACATGTACATGTATCATTAGTTCCATCACTCGTATAAACCATGGACTTACAAACATTATTCCTATTTAACCTATTGCAATTCAGAGTTTCTTCTCTTTTAATTTGATCAGTTTTCCCTCATCAAATTGGCAGCATTTAATCTCATAGTGGTTTTGTATTTTATACTGCAACTTAGAGACTAAATAATTAGTTACATTTAAATCACTCTTATTCGAGAATGGAGCAACATCTTGCATTGATTTTTATCTCTTTCTGCTCATATGTAGAAAACATGTAATTCTTAGCACTGAATTCTTGGTCAAATGATGATGCAAAAACGTCACCAAAAGGAGACAATACTGCTATCTTGGGTTAAATATAACATGTACAGTATATGTAGTATTAGGTGTACTATTAGTTTGTTTATACCTCTCTTTAGAAATCTAGCCAACTGATTGGTCGAAATTGGAGTCGTGATTTTAGCCATTCCCGTAAAGACACAATGCCAGCAATGGTTAATAGTTCATGAGTGAGATTCCCTAAAGATTCCGGGTACCGTGAAAATAGTAACACTTTGATGAGATCCCCATTGGTTTACATGTTAAAACTTAGTTTGTGTGAGCGCGAATGCCATAAGTGCTTTTTGTTGGCGATTCCCGAAGGATCGTAACATTCAGTCATCTTTCCAGCGAAGATGAACAGTCAGTTTCTCAGATTTTTTGTGATGTTTTAACCAATCTTTACTCAAGAAAAGGATAAGGTAAGAATTCTTGGTAGATTTTTGTGTCAATTCTGTATATAAAAGATATAGACTGCTTTGATATATGAGGCATATTTGTTTTTACCGGCTCTCGGGGACGTTACATCCTGCTATCACCCCGAGGCGTAACTATTCCTTTCATATCAGTCATTATATCTATATTATGTTAGCTTTGTATTTATAATTTTTTGTTAAATGGGGGAAGGTTCACAACTCGTCACTTTGATTGACCAAAAATTATTGCCATTAACAGGTGCTTATTTTTTTTAAAGGGAGAGAGGAGTAAATAACTTTTTTTACATAGATATAAGGTATTTTGAAATAATTTCCCTCACAACTCTTGTGCATGTCTGTAAAAAATGATTAAATTTAAATTATTCCAATAAAATGTTGAATATTATAATTTACAGTTGTATCGTTATTCTTTGTTAGTAATTTCTTGTAAATCTTGCTCCCTTACACCCATCTTTCAAGTTTTCTCACTTCCTCAGTTTATCTTGTCTACTCTGTTTTTTACAGTTTTCTCTCCTTGTTTTTAATTTCCAGTAAATTTCTTCCTTTTCCTATTGTTCTTGTTATTTTACCCTTCTCTCTTCCTTTTGATTTACTTGGACCTGACCACACACACCAATGTCTACATGTACGTGATAGAATGGATGTGAGAGAGAAAGTGAGAAGGGGGATGATGGAGAGAGAGGGAGTGAGAGATAGAGGAAGGAAAGGAGAGAGAGAGAGAGAGAGAGAGAGGAAGAGAGAGAGAGAGAGAGAGAGAGGGCCCAGGGGGGGGGGGGGGACTAGATGTAACAGGAAAGAAAGGGACTAGGTACAAATGAGAAAAAAGAGGAATAAATGTGAAATGAAGAAAAGCCATTATTAGACCTTGAAAGATTTAAGAAATGTATAACAAGAAAAAAAATAATGTCCATATTTTAACTTTTAATTCTCTCCCTATCTCTGTTCCCATTCTCACTTCTCTCTCCTATCCCTCGCTCATCATCTTTTTTCTTTCTTGCCCTTCTATCTTTTCTTGTTATTTTGGCTCTTCCTTTCTCTCATTTTCTTTCTCTCCTTACCTCTTTGTACCTTTCTTTCTTTTCTATCCTGTCTCCTCTCTTCCAGTAGTTTCCCCATTTCCTTCTCTTCTTTCCCCTCTCTTTCTTTCTCTCATTTATCATCCTCTTTCCCATCTCTTCCTCCCTTTCCTTCTCTCATTCTGGAGAAGGTAGACAAAACGATACTCTTAATTACTGTTCTACATTAATGTCAACTCGCATAAAAACACCCAAATGCATATTTTTGTTATACCAAAAAGTATTTACTACATTTCATACCAATTTGGATGCAACTTGGAAATGGATCATGTAAAACAAACAAAATCAAGCAGTCTTAACACACAATAATTAACTAAAATTAATGTTTGTGGACATGTGAGCTACAACAATAATCATGGGGGGGGGGGGATTATTGGGAGGGATGGGATAAGATCCTCCCCCCTCCCCCATTTAAAAAAACAAACAAAAGAAAATTCAACCTTAACTTACAGTAAATTGCTCTGGAAGAAAGCGGAAAAAAGTAAAAACATAGAAGTCAATTGGTGAAAGTTAGAATAAAATCAAACAAATGGTAAGAAAGTAATGATTTTTTTTGTTTAGTTGTATTTGCAACCAATCTACGAACATGTTACAGAATTTTAAATTGGCTGAATCTCCAATGTCACTGGGATGTAGTGGCGGACAACTCTACCACATGTTCCTACACAAAAATGTAGTAAAATAGCAATTTTTATTAGGTTTTAGAGTTCCCCAAGGTAGTAGGGAGAAGGCCCTTAGGAGAAAACAAAAATTCATGTTTTTGTACACAACATAGGGAGTGTTATCCACGATTACGTCACACAGTCCACCAACCTACATGGTGTACTTGCCAATTTCCGATTCACCTCTAAATTTATTAATTAAATATTTCAAACATTCATAAATCTCTTATCATTTCAAACATTCACAATTCTTTTGATGAAATAAAACCTGAAGCCATCATTGCTGGAAAAAACATTACAAATAAAAGAAAAAGCAATAAAAGAGTATACATTTTGTTAATCCAAACTATGCTTGCATTTACAGGGAATGGTACATTTAAAATAACAAAAAAGGTTAGAAAAAAAAAAAAAATGAAACAACTACAAATCAGAAATTGTAATAAATATAAGAGACTGAATTGATAAGACTGCTCAAAATATACCAGGTCGCTGAATGTAACAGAGACTATGGTCAGGTATCATTTCAAAATAATAAACCACCAACATCTTACTTTACAAAAGGTTATGACTAGTTACGAAGATGCAGTACATAACAATGATACCTGGAGGGGTAATGGTTTATCCGGTATCTCAGAATAAAACATACTTCCGGACTGTTCACACAGCTCTTTTAAAATTAGTGTTGAATACCGGTAAGGGTGATTTAGTCACAATGGTAATAAAGTAGTTCTTTTTGTTTACCACTTTACCAGCGCTCTTTTATCAATGTATCAGAGCTCTTTTCGAGCTTACCAGAGTTAAATCGCTAACTGCTCGTATGGTCCTTTTTGTTTTGCTGCTGTATCTGCTTCTGTGTCCAAACAAGCGTTTTCTATACCTACATGTACTACATTCCATCTGGAGAAAAAAAATGTTGGTTGATTGCTTATGAAGACATGGAACTTGACGATGTGGGAGCGTGTTGCCATTGTTCATTACAAAACAACTGTTTTTGAAACGTTTACCATCAACAGACGAAAAATTGCTGGTTGACTGTTCACACAGCTGCAGCATGAATCAATAGCGATATTTGGTGGAGTAGTCTTTGGGCGAAACCACCAAACCCCGCCCTTTCCTTGCGCCCCTGTAAACCGTCTCCACAATATCAATCACCTCCTGTTCATCGTCTATCGGCCAGTTGATCTTATTGTTGTTACCCGTACCGAGATCAATCATTATATGCTTGTTCCTGAAGAAGTACATCATCGTGCACGGGTCGTACAGCTCATACATCTTATTGAAGTCAGGCACCTCCGTGATGTCCACCAGGTACACCACGGCGTAGTTCTTCACCTTGTCGCAGATCCTGTACAGCGTCTCGTCCATCTTCATGCAGGTCGGGTCCCAGTCGTGACCGAAGCGGATGACGACGACGCGATCCTCCTCACCGAGAATGGCCTGGTCGACCTGCCAGCCGTTGTGGAGATGGCTCAGCATATAAGACATCTTGATTTAGTCGTTGAGTCTTCTGTGATTCTCGGGAATAGAAAGGGAAAGTCGACCCCCTTTGACGCTTTAGTCACCAACACCAAGTGGTCGCTATGTAGATAATTACTACCACTAACGCTTTCTTTTTTTCTCTTGGTACTAATCCTAACTTATGATGAAACTGAGCATTTCCTAAGCATTTATTCCAGATCTCATAGCACACTATCCTTTTAATTTCCTTGTAAGTTGTAGGTCCTGACCTGGAAGTATAAAGAAGAGAGAGCATAAAATGGGTAGTTATTCAAAGAAATGTTGTATTTTTACACTGCAAATAATCTTAGTTTGTAATGAAATGTAATGTAATGTAAGCAACCAAAAGATAAGTAGGGTAGAGTGCCCAGTATTCGGTCACTTAAGGGGAAATCAGTAATATTTTGAATTCTTACCTCTTTTATTTGGCAATCTACCCATCAAAAGAAAAGAAATTTATTCCTCTAACAGGATTTTATAGTCACTTAAAATATAGAATAACGATAAGCAAAATACTTCCGAAAGAAGACGGAGCATTTTTCTGCCCAGAATTCGGTCGCGCCGATAAGAATTCGGTCACGCGATTTGTGCGTGGTATCTCCGTTGCCAAAGAGCGAAGCGTATTTGCGCACTATTTTCACACAATTGCGCGATAAAGCACTGAATGTCAATGCGTTGACCGAATACTGGCCGAGCGATACCGCATGGCAAGGGTATCGTATAAATACCTCTCGCACATCGGCAAATGAGTCATTTGCAAATTCACTGCGATGGAGTGAACACGGAAGTGATTCTCTTCACACACATACTAAATTCATTGCGACAGCACACGCAGTTGTTTCGCAATAGACTTCTACATATGGCTATGCACGTTAGCGCATGTGCTAAGAGAACGCAGAAGTGCAGAAAGTCTTGCGACACCGACCAATTTTGAGCTAAGTTGGAGATCTTTCCGGGGCCCTAAATCTCATTTAATTTTGAGAGTTAAGAAAAGTTGTTCAGCTGCTTGATTTGTGCAAGTTTCGTGGCTCGAAAATTATTTTTAAAATTGTTACAGATGTCGAAACGGCCGTCTGACCCAATACTGGGAATTGACCGAATACTGGGCGCGCTACCCTAGGCATCACTTGATCAATATGGAATGGAAGTCATGGAAGAATACTTTTTCTGAGGCTTTCTTAAACATGTAGGCCTAGCCTTATTTATTGGGCTAAATTAAGCCTTATTTAGCGTTGCCACTCGAGTATTTCTAGTTCTAGGTCTATCTAGACTCTATTTTCCCCATCTAATATTCATCTGTCACCAACTAAATTACAAAATGAAGGCGAGTAAAGGCAAGATTACCAGACGAGGGATGGCCGATGGTAAGGTTATGCCCTCGCTCTGATCGAGCTACGACCGTGCCATATGCCAGCGCAAAAAGACCTCGAATCGAGTCTGTATTATGTCTGTGGCGATTTTGACTATCTACGACTACATGATCATGATGATGTGGGGATGTACACAAGTCACAACACTTCCTTCTTTTCCTTTGCAGACTATTATTGATACGTGGATTTAATGAACGATATCTTAATAATAATCATTCAAACTAGTCATTCATATGCATCACTTCACGTACCGGTATTTACTTACAGTCTCCGTTTCCTGAGAACACTGCAAAATAATAAATTCTGGAAGATTCTGATCCGAAAATCCGTGTGTTTTTTCAGCAATCGAATCTGAAACGTTAGGACGTTGAAATTTGAGATGGCGCTCTTGTTCAGTCTAATGTTTGTTAGGGTGAGATTTGTTTGGTATTGAGTAGCCTATCAATATTATCTATTTTAAATAAAACCTAACCGCAATTCATATAATTGTGCAAATAATTTCCATTTTGGATTCCAGTAAACGTCTCCTCGGTTCCCTTTGTTATTCCTTCTCCCCTTTCAGAAATCCATTAATTGGCATATTGTGCTTCATAACTCTCAGTAGACCCCTTTTCCTATATGAGCAACAGTAATTGTGGTGTATGTAACTGGCTGTATCAAAGAAAAAAACTTATTAATTTGTATATGTTGGGCTTCCCCGCCAAACTATTAGAATAAACTTCAATATGTGGATCTAGTTCTCATCATACCTGAATTTATTTGATTTATGGGGCATATATATTGGATACTCTTCGTTCATTTGTCTCTCCATCTATATCTCTGACTCTATCAAGCCCTCACTGCATTTTGTATTTTCTGTTTACTTCTTAATGCTGTAGCCATGTTAAATTATTTATATTTAATAATAATAATAATAATATTGGATTCTTCTTAATGCACATATAGCCATGTTAAATTATTTATATTTAATAATAATAATATATATAGCGCACGTATCGACCATGCAAAGGTCCTCAAGGCGCTCCGACATTACCCGGCTATAGGTAATTTGTTATTCTCATTTGTGATTCTATCTACACATTTATTTGACACCTTTTATTTTGATGGAAACAACCAACGAATGGTTTTTCATACAAATTGTACTTGTTATGTTTGTGCTTGACAAATAAAGTAAACTGAAACTATAACCAGGTATTTTAATAACTATATGCTACAATGTGGAATTTTAGATATATTTTTAATAAGAAACAAATATTTAAACCATGAAACAACACTGAGATGCAGAGCTAGCAGAAAGAAAGAAAAAGAAAAAAAAAGGAAAAAGGAAGGAGCTAGATCAGAAAAAAACATAAACTGATTTAAATAAATGAAGGAGTGAAAAAAAAGGAGAAAGAGAAAGAATAAAAGAAAGAAAGGGAGAGGCATAAACAACACCAAGTACATGTTTTATGATATTCATCAAATGATTTTTTATTAGTCATTTCTACAGAATTGGTTTTCAGACTGGCATTTATACAATTGGGCACTGTTTCACGAAATAATCACAAGTGTAAGTTCGCCGACACCCTTCAAACACATTTAATGAAATGAAAAGGGAGAAAAAATGCCCTGCATGACTTAAGAACAACAAAATTCAGTTGATGATACAACAGTCTGATAGAAATATGGAAAATTTATAGACAATATCAAGGTGTTTTTAAATTAGAAATCACTCAAAAATGCTGTAGTCCCATATGAATACCGTTCTATTTTTTCATTGCATCTGCCAATATTTTATATATTACAATTCAGCTTACACGTTTTCATCATATTACTATGTTTCAACCGTTATACACATATATCACTATCAAAATTTGAGATTTATGTAAATACAAAATATACAGATTGAAAAAAGAAATACACAGTATATAGCAAATTTTCATCACTTTGTATGCATTGAATACATTTTCATCATTTTTACTACAGATTGGAATAAGAAATACACAGTATCTAGCAAATTTACATCACTTTCATTTTTATCAGCACTAGAATAAAGAGTTCATTGATAAAACAGACCATGAGGAAAACAACTTCAACTATTTCACTACCCACACAGAATCACCTTCACTGAGAAATGATTGATAATATTAAATATTCATTGAGGGGGCGCGATGGCTCAGTGGTTCAGCAGTGGTCTTGTAACAGGAAGGTCCCATGTTCAAAACCATGTCAAAGCGCTCATGCTATTTGATATGGCTTTAATCCTCATTACCAAGTCCCTCTGAGAGGACTTAATGCCTCCGGTCCCCTGATCATTTACTTACAAGCATATATATGCTTTCCTAGCAGTCAGGTCAAATAATCATTGATTATCGAGCATCAAAATTTGGGGTCATCATTGAAAGATGTATATACAGATATAATTGACAAATAAAATGTAAAATTAAATGCCTTTATTCAAAATCATGGGCAAAACTCATGGTCTATTTCTTCACATGCAGGTATAATACATTCTAGTATGCCTAATCTACATATAAAGTACCTCAGTCGCCCCGCCCCTCACCCCCCCCCCCCAAAAAAAAAAAAAATGGAAGAAGAAGAAATGTGTCTGCATGCCTCCCCTCATCCTTTTCTTTCCTGCTTTTCATCACCATATGTTATGCACTGTATAAGTATGGCATATTATTATAATCATCAGTGCTATTGTAATTATTAAAGAAATTACATGCAAGATGATCAAACGTCATCTTTTCTTCTGATGCAGTATGACACATATGAAGCTGTATAAAGGGCGTTTCCGAATATCAGAATGCTACACTCGTACTTTCATAATAACTATTCAATTTGTATCCTCACGTACTGCCCTTTAATGGCAGTTGCTCATATCTAATCAATGAATGTTTGTTTCAAACATTGTCTGTACAATCTATTTAAAAATGCCACTACAATTACCTATTGCAATCCATATATATACATATCATGCATCTTTGCAGTTTTAATATTTTATACAAGATAACGTTTATTACACATTCATCTCATGAAGCTCATATGATACGAAAATACATTGCACAACACTCCTTTCTCATTAAACATTAAGAGCAGTATACAGTCAAACTAGCTGCTTTAGTGACCACCTGTATAGAAAGACCACCTGCCTATAAACACCAACATTTTTTATCTCCCTTGAGCAGAGTTTTTAATTGAAACCTGTTTTAAAAGAACCTGCACATAAAGACCACCTGCACATAAAGACTGCTTTTCTTGTCTTCCTCTAGTGGTCTTTTTAACAGTTTTTACTGTATTTGAAAATTAATTTGGGTGAAGAAATTTGAACCGATAAAAGGGAAGCAAAAAGATGTCTTCTTTAACGCTTCATATGCCACATAAATAATCTTCCTTTGCCACACTGTATTAATCATTGGACACATGTAGGTTATACAATTTTATAAATATCTATAGCATACCTTATCTTAATTTGAACTTCGTATACTATGAAATGTACTGTATCGCCTTTTTATTGCATGTCCGAATTATCTCTCATATTATAATGTGCATTTATTGTTGTTTTGATTGACATTATTATTGAACCATGTATGTTGTAAAGGGCCCTGATGAAAACCAGCTCATGCTGATCGGGCTACCCTTTTTAAAGATGTGAAATAAATAAATAAATAAATAAAATACCAAAGGCTTCAAGATTATTTGACTACTTCCAGTTTATCAGGGTTATCATGGAGCTAATCCAGACCAGACATGGGTAATGTTGCAAAGCCACTGTGTTGCACAAAGCAATCCTTCAGTCGATTGATGCCTATTTTTTGTGTGCAATATGGCCAGAGATTGTGCAGAGAGGTGAGAAAAGCATAAAAACTACTAATACGGCCGTCAAATTTATTGAACTGTTTCTAAATATACATGTATTTATAATAATTCTTCATATTTTACTCAAACTCTAACAAAACTGGGTGGATTCATATTCCTGAAGTAATTGTCTGGAAGCAATAGAGAAAGGCTGTAATAGTACATAGGAATTGAGGTATGCTGTAAAGTTGCATTGTATGTATCACATGACCTCAAATGGTAGTTTGTAATGTTCACAGTAGCGTTTCTAAGGAGCTGAAACAATGAATTTGCCCAGAAAAATCCACTTCTGGAGAAGGACCCCGAATTCCATTACCGCTATCGGTATATATGCAGATTATGGTGGTTCTGGAGAATTGCAAGTGATTTCTTAGACCCAGAAAATAACAATTTAAACAAAAAATCCTGTAGAAACACATTGAAATATAAGTCCATTCCACAGTTTATTGTCGTTTGGTCTACAACAAATTTGTCTATTACCCAATTGGTGTATTCCCATATGGTCTACACCCAGCCTGTGTACTATCCACATGGTTTAGCAATCATTTTGTCTACTTCTCATTCGGTCTAATGACTATTTAGGCTCACCGGTATATTCTTTTGGTCTAATCTCCAATAAGTCTTACTACCTATTTAGTCTACTGCTCATTTAGTGTCATTTCCAGTTTGTCTAATGCCCATTTTGTCTACTATTCATATGGTCTAATAATCATTAAATCATATTTAATAATAATAATAATCTTGCACTAGATGTATCTCTCTGATTCACTTGTCTCCTGGTGCAGGCAGGGCAAGGGCAGGGGGTCCAAACGGGTCCACCTAATCAGGAGAAAAACAATCCAAAAAACACACCATGTTTAATAGATAGTAATACAAATTTCTAAGGCTCACTTTTCTGATACAGTCAAACCTGCTTCAGTGACCACCTGCCTACAAGACCACGGCAAAACTTTTCTTTTGTAGAATCTGTGTGTAGTTTAGAAGGTTGTTTAAAAAGAATATTTAACCATAATTCACAATCACTTCACAACTTTTTATCTTGACACTAAAAACTAAGTGAGTATGTTTAGGACCTTTGTTGTGTGCAACTATTCTTTTTTCCATCCCTAATTACCAATCATTTAGTACACACAAAGAAAACTGTGTGGAAAACGGCCATTGTGGTATATATATATGTGAACAAAATTTCATCATTCATTTTCAATTTTTTTCAATTTTTTTTTTTCAATTTCAATTTCAATTTATATATGTTTCCAAGAAAACGTTACAAATCAATTATAAACATTTACAACAAATTTAGAAATACTTATCGGAAACAGATGGGTCCACTTAAAAAAAGCAATGCTTGCAAGTGTGAACACCTCAAATCCTTACCTCAATGCTGGGATGTGTGTTAGCCGTTATCATGATATCAGTAGCTGACTCTCCATCCCTCTTACGAGCTCTTGACCAATTAGCCTTCACCTCTACTTGATTTCTGCTTCCTGAAAGACAAGAAAAATAGTACAAAGAATAATGAAAACTGAACAATTGTCAAAATTGTACAAATTAATATGATAATATCGAACTATAAATTCAGAATGTTAAGAGTAATGTTAAATTTTACTGACACCGCAGTCCAACCTTGACATATAAACTCACTTGATAGACACCCCTTACATATTCTTGACCTGGTCCAATAATTAGATTGTAATTGTACAGAGGACATTCTCCACACCCTTGGGAAGCATTCCAGCCATTCACCTGTTTCCAAGTACACAAATCAATACTAATGCACTCTTAATCACATTCTAGTGAGTACCCATCTGTCTCCTGGACGGAGAGAGGCAATGTAGATAAAAATACCTTGCTCAAGCCAGGACACCTACCTTTAGCGCCTTTGAAGGATTCCTTGTAGGACACACACAACACCTCGTCCCTCGTCACATCATCCAGGGATGCAACGGTGCCCCCAGTGTTAGTGTAGAGCTGAGTGGCTGTCTTATGTAGGCCTAGTTTAAGGGTAGCCTCTTTGAGGATCTCTTCTACTGACGAACCCCATACATACTGGGCTTTGTCCTCGCTAGTCCCGTTCTTGTACACCATCACTCGTTTCTAGGAGAGCAAGATGAATCATCGCCTATTAGCATCTATAGGCGGTGTCACACAGAGGCCAAAAATTCGAATTTTAGTTATCCGGTTTTTAATTATCCTCTTTTTGGCTGTCTGACATCAATTATCCCTTCAAAAATCCCTTCAAAAAACCTCATATGAAGCAAGATAATTCTCTCTTGAAAGGATTTTTCAAGGGTTTTTTCAAGGGATTTTTCTGTCTGACACCAATGTTGAAATAATCCCCTTTAAGGTCAGTGTAAAGTCAACATGCTATCAATGACCCGCGCATAATTATATTAGCGCGCATTTAATGAGACGTGTTACTTTGTGATGTCACAATGCTTATCTACCTAAACGGCCCGTGCGCAATGGCCCATCAAGAATCCGGATTTTAGTTATCCGGATTATTCGTAGCCTGTCTGTCACCAGTCTGTCACCGACGTAAATGAAAAAACTAGATTTCTCAAATCTGGTTAATTCGAGAAGGGTCAGGATTTTTCTGTGTGACACCGCCTAATATGTACATGTAGAAGGGTTACGTGTATGGTACAGTAGATAAATCACTGCGGCTGTGCATTTATCTAATAATCAAATTTCTTAATTGTGACTGATGCTAGCTCTCTCTGGTATAATGGGGTTTCTACTTTGACAAAGGAAATTTAGCCTGGATTAAACCCAAATTATACATTCTCAACTGCATACTTTTTCTCATTTCCCAAATCTGTCTGCCTGTCTGTATGTCTGTCTGTCTGACTCTCTCTCTGTGTGACTCTCTTTGTAATCATGAATTCATCTTACCTTGGTAGGTTGGCTGTAGAGTTTGCGACTGGAATCGATGATAGGTTTGGTTGACGTGTTAGGATCCCGGGATTTCTGATGGGCTTTCACTTCAGAAAGATGATTCTAAAGAAGAGAAAAATGAAGTGAAAATTACAAAGAGCTCCTGAACGAAACAATACAAAATAATCTGTACTGACTACATCAAAATTATTGTATTCTTAAACTTGCACTGTTAAAGATTTCATCAAACCAATTCACATTTCTTTGTTCCCAAAAAGTTAACAAATTCTACATTTAGAGCACAAGGTTACCGATCCATGTGGATGTACTTTAGTGCCGGGCTGGGATTTGAACCATTAACCCTTCAATTGAGAGTCAAGTCAATGATGCACTACACCACAGCACCTCCAAAAAATTACTGAACCAAAATGTTCAACACAGAAAACTCAGATCTTCCCAAAAATCTCTCCTCACCATTCCACAAATTAATACTAAATTCTACGGGTGTCGCTCTTTTCAGGTTGCATCGGCTGAACTTTGGAATAAACTACTGGAAAATCTAAAAATTGTGGTATTGTTGACAACTTAAAGACGCGTCTTAAAACATTTCTTTTCAAAAATACTTTCCAATGTTTAACGAGAGGAAGTATGTTGAGCATATCTCACTCTTCTTATGTTACTCTATCCACTTTTCCTTCTTACTCTTTCATACAGCGCATAGAGACATACATGTATTGTGATATGCGCTATATAAAAACAGTATATAATTATTATTATCATTGTACTCAGGAAAATGTCTTCCATAAAATATCATTGTTATTATTATCTTTCTTACCTCAAGTTGGTTGACCTGTATGCTCTTTCTGACCTCTGTCATGCTGGGTTTGGTCCAACCTCCTTCAACTAAGACAGGTTCATCTGGGCTCAGGGTCGGTACATACTCAGGTCCACTCTGTTCTGCAGTTCTTCTCCCTATGAAGCAAAACAAATTAACAAACATATAGATTATGACCAACTTTACTTCTCATGATTCCCTAGATTAAAAACATAGATGAATTAAATCACTGATTCAAACATTTCCAATCTATGCGCCTAAGCGCTTTACAGATATATTATTACCCCGGTCATGGGATTCAGGCTTACCCACACAGTGTATGTAAATTCTCCACTCCCTGGGGAGAACTCCAGCCAGTTGCCATTTTACAAGCGCACACTTGCTAATCCAACCACATGAACTTTCGCATCCTACCGGGTACCCATTTAACATCTGGGTGGAGAGTAGCAAGTGCAGGTAAATATCTTGCCAAAGGATATTAGTGCCGTGTCAGGATTCAAACCCTCGACCTTCACATCTCCAGTCAAGCGCCTTAAACCACTCAACCCCGACACTCCTGATCAGATGAGATATTGTTACAAACGAAAATGGATGATAATTTCCCACACCTACATGAACTACAAATACAGCCATTTAAGAAAATTTACCTTGCATCTGCCTGAGAACATGTTTCTCTTTCTCCAGCTCTAGCATGACCTTTGACCTTTCTTCTCTTAGTTCTGCTTTGAGAGCACGTGCGTAGTCTACCTCTGTAGAAGAAATGAGAGAAGAAAGTATTCAAGAATAGTACGTATACAATAATTTACATATAGAAGAAGAGAAACTATTGGTTGGTAAAAGGGGTCAGATAATAGCACAGCCTAACCCCTTAAACAGCTAAACAAAGTATTTTCCCATACATATCATTATTTCTGCAACATACAATTACATTCCAATAGCTTTCCATTTTTTGTAATCCTCCCTTAGGAGGCATGATGGCTCAGTGGTAGAGCAGTGGTTTCATAACAGGGAGATCCAAGGGTTCAAAACCAAGTTGATAGGGCCCTTTAGTAAGGCATCAATTCTCATTACCAAGTCCCTCTGAGAGGACTTAAAGCCGTCTGTTGTCTGATTGCTCATTTACCTGCACACACATGCTTAATCCCCAATCACATGTGCTCACAATCCGTTGCTCTATCCCTTCTTAGAATGATGTTTCTCTCTCTCTCTTTTACTATTCTCTCTGCGTTAAACTAAGTCTTCCACCCCTCCCCTTCCCTTCTCTAGATCCCCTCCCCCAACTTCCCTTCCACCCCTCTCTCTCTATCACTCTCTCTCAATCTCTCTCTCTTGCTCTCTCGCATTCTATTGTCCCATCTGTCTGTCTGTCTGTATCTCTCTCACTCTCTCTCTCTCTCTCTCTCTCTCATACTTACGTTCTGGTGGTTTCAATGGTTCTCCGTTGTCTGTTAACAACTCTCTCAATCTCTCTCTCTCTATCTCTCTCTCTCTCTCTCATACTTACGTTCTGGTGGTTTGAATGGTTCTCCCTGAGACACCCAGACCTCGACCGGTTGTCTGTTGAAGAGCTCATGACGGAGACTCTCGGTGATGGCTCGTTTCATCTTCACCTCATCCTTTGCATCTGTGGTACAAAGACACAAAAGTGATGAGATCTTCATAATATCCCTTATAGCATATTCATTATAGTTTGGTTGTTTGTCCATCTAACTGAAGGGATCCGGTATCTTTGTCTCAGATTCTAAACAAAATCCTGGATTTAGCTCATGCTGCAATCATAATTATAAACCTTTAGATCAGTCAGGAATCCCATGACGTTTTCAAGCTGATCGCCCGTCTAATTATCAAGATATTTATGATTTGAATTCAAAATTTCAAAAACTGCTTTCACAAAGGTTTTTTTTATAACATTACATTCTTTATGTTGGAAAATGAGTAAGGTAAAATTGGTCACTCAAAGATTTTTACTTTTTGAGGCACTTCATGATCATTTTGAAGCCCAATTTTTTAGGGCTTCAATATTACACCATATCACAGACACTGGCAGCACAGTAGGGCCGTGCATCTCAGATTTTGTAATACTTGTTAAACGATGCCTTTAAAGATTTTTTTTTAATTGTAGCTGAGCTATATGAATTAATGTTATTATCATCATTACTATGATGGGGAAATTTAGACTGATCCAAGATCTAAGGAATGAATAGGCCAGAATAAATGAATTAGACTAACCTGCGTCTGGTCCAAGATTCAGGTTTTGCATGCCATAGCTCGTCATCTTCCATGTATGGAGGTCTACTAGCGTGAGGATAGCTGTGCTGTCCTGGGTGTATAGACGTCTCCCTGCCGTGGGCAGCTGTAAGGCATAGGTGCACTGGTCAAGTAGCTTAAGAGAGAGAGGAAGAGTAGAGAGACTTGAGTATAATGTTTCTTTCATAGACACAGAGTAAGTGTCCAGGGCCCATATTCAATTCAATACTTAAGTACAACATTTAAGCTTTTTACTTACGGTAGTATTTGGCTTTGATTAAATACTTAGCCAATTTGGGTATTGTGACGCGCCTGCGTGCGCTTGGAACCAAGACTACTTAATAAAGTGTTCGTTATCGTAGACATCTTGACACATAGACATTGGCCTCCTGACTGATATGTTCTGGGAGTTATTGTGGCGGTTTGGGGATGTGTAATGCTTGTCTTTGGTGGCGATTCAGATTGTCGTGGTTTAGTGTTGCCCATGATCCATGACAGTATTCAATTCAAACTTTTGGCTAAGTATTTTACCGTAAATTTAAGACAGCTCCCTACCAGACTTAAGCCAATTATTTAGAGGCCTTCATTGGAAGGCATAATGGTTTTCTTACGCAGTATCATAACCTGGGCACAATTATATTAGTGCGTATTTATTGCGACACGTTAATTGCGCATTACTTTTGATTGACCGTGTGATGTCACAATGCTTATCAGTAAGTATTTTACTTAGATTTTGTCTCAGGTAAGTAAAAGTCTAAAATATGATTTGAATAAGAGATAAGTAGACTTCTTAGCTTAGCCATTTACTTAGTAAATTCCTTACTTAGTCAAGTGTTGAATTGAATACCGGCCAAGGTGCCTATGTGTACAGAAAAATGTACATGTACGAGTCAAGAAAACTTGGACATTAAATAAGAAAGATATGATTATATAGAGATTAAGATCACTAGTGGTATGGCCCAGCTCCTTTTAGAACCACGATATATTTGATGTCATACATGTACTTTGAGAAGATCCATATTTGTTTAGTTCCTAAATTACTCAAAATATGCATTTTCTTTCCAATAATTTATCATTTTTCACTTTAAAGCCCCACTGCATTACTTATAGCTACTTGCACCCTCTATATAGCAAACAATGCCTAATCGGTGACCATTGGTCCACCCATGATCCTCATTTTCTTATGTTTATTGAGAGCTTATTTGATGTGTCAGTGACCTTGAGGGAGGTCTAATCCCTCCTGGCTACACTAGTGCAGTGGGGCTTTAAAAAATATGTCCAAAGTAATATCTACAGCTAGAAATGTCTGTGATATACCCATCTTAGAGTAGAGCGGCAAACAACGACTCAAAATATGCATATTCTTTCCAATAATTTATCCTTTTTTTCCCTTATACTCTCACTTTAAAAACTATGTCCGAAGTAATATCTACAACTAGAAACGTAGGTGACATTTCAAAACGACAATTTTCACATACCCCTCGGAGCGTAGAGCCGCACACAACGACCCCGGGTTGGTTCCGGCCCTCGCCGTTCTTGTAGGCTACGATACGGACGGTCTGAACAGTCTGGTACGCTGAGATCTCTCTGGCGATCACCCGAGCACTCGTCATCTGCCTCAACCTCTTGAGCTCACCTTCATAGTGGGCCACGGTGGTGGCGGCTTCAAAGGCAGACAGGTCAACCTGAGAATGAACAACAATCCACACATTGATTGACTTTCGTTATGGTAGGTTCAAGTCCCGCCGCAGCACTAATGTCCTTTGGCAAGACATTGATCTGCATTTGCCACTCTCCACCCAGGTGTTAAATGGGTACCCGATAAGATGCCAAAGTTAATGGGGTTAGATGAACTAGTGTGCGCTCGTAAAAATGACGCCTGACAGGAATGCTCCCCAGGGAGTGGAGAAAGTGCATACATCCGATGACCAGGGTAATAATATATATCTGTAAAACGCTCTGAGAGGGCCTGCGGTCCTGAAAGGCGCTATATTAGAACAAAATATTATTATTATTATTATCATGGTTTGACCGACTCTTTTTTCGCTCTGCCTCTAAATCTCTTTCCCATGCTCAGTCTTTCTTATCTGAGCCCTGTCTTATAAAAAGTTGTGATTGATCCGAATCAATGGCAAGTCTTCTAATTCAAGTCGATTCAATTCAATTCTTTTTATTCATCCAAATTCCAAAGAATACATGGAATTTGTTTTGATCACACATTGTACAAATACGTAATATATATATATATGAGAAACTATATCGTTGTGTTTATAATCATAGAAGAACCATCAAAATAAAAGATAGACAAGATAGAAATATTCTTATATTCTAGTATTACACAACAATCTGAAGTATGCAGTACCCTCTCTTTTATGTACATTGTTGTGATTGATATCAAACAAAATGGGATTAACATCAACTCTTTATGCGACGGGGCCCTGATCTAATTATGTTAATTTGATCTCATGTTTGTTTATCTTAATCTTAAAGATAAAATGCACAATCCTTACTGCCAACTGCATGCTCTGAAAAGCATAATCACAAATTGATGTACTAGAGAACATCATTTTAACTGGGTTTGACATGATTTTAATCCCTTAATTTCTGATTGAAAACCTGGGGAATGAATATCTTTTTTCTCCCACAATCCCATTTATTTGCAGTTTATTCCCCATCTTAAGCCCTTCCTGCTTACCTTGCCCCCTAAGAATTGCAGGCATCCCTTGATCTTCTGCCCTTCCTTCTGAGCCACTCCCACGGAGCAGCTGAACGACGTCGGCTGGCTCAGTTTATCTAGCTTGTACTGCGCCCTCAATGTTCGTGAACAGGCCAGGCAGACCGTCATGGATGCCTCGTCGTCTTTGTTATTGCTTTTCATTGTATAACCCTGAGGAGGAAACAAACGGAGAACATGAACATTTTTTAAATATAAAAAAAAAAAAACCTTTTTTTTGAGGCCGTCATCGTAGTCGAGCATCGCTTATGATTGCCGTACGTTTCCTGCACTTATTCAACAGATAGTTTGGATAATACTTTAAATTCATAATAATATGTTATAGAAATATTAAGTTTTGTTATTTAATGTACATATGTAAAAAAAAACATTTTGACATGAAGTTATTATTGTTTGTATATTTTGTATGATACCTTACGTTTATATGTTCTTTGTGGTTCAGTTATTAAATTTGGAAAAATGCAGAAATCAAATCAAATCAACATGAAAAACACAAGCTAAATGCTTCACTCGATGGAGCATGATTTATAACCAAAACTAGATGGATCACAAGTAGAATTCAATTCAATTCGCATTTATTTCATTCTTTAAAAATTACATTGATACAAAAGATACAAACTAATTCATGAACAAATTTAGATAACGAAAAAGGGGACCACATATAAAGCCCTTAGGCCTTGTACAAGCGTAGTTCCCAATTGAAAGCTTTCATAGCATAATGTAAAGTAAAGATAAAAAATATTTAAAAAGTTTTAATAAAAAAGAAACAAAAAACATATAACACAAATATAAACAAAAGATATGGGGTTCGCATGACATTCAAGGTTCCACCGGAGATTGTAATATAGAATGATATTTGAAATATATCTGTAGGTTTATTTATAATCATGCTTATTCTACATGAATATATTGACATAAAGAACCTTTCATACCACTTGCATTCTGCTTTCATTTATTGAGAAATTGTAAAGGAACCTACAAAAGAACAAACAGGTATAATAATAAGTGGTATTTTGCCGCTTTTGTATTATTTAACATTGCTCCACGTACTCCTATGGAATATCAATTTCTAAAGGATAGTAGAAAGTTAGTAGACAACATTCAATCATCGCAAATATTTATCAAAATGTTTTTCTCTTACCGGCTGCTCTATTGCTTCTGAGTCTGCAATTGCAAATGTACAGACATTGGCTCTATTGGCTGCTGTGATTTCTGTAAAGGAAAAGAGACAAAATGAAATCAGTAAAAGACATCGATGAGAGTGAATGTGCAAACAGAGAAAAGGACCCTGTTGCATAAAACTTACCATTGATGGTAACTTTGCCATCAATGGTAACTACCATGGTAACAGGGCTCAACAGCCAATCAAAATCAAGCTTTCCATGGTAGTTACCATTGACGGCAAACTTACCACCAATGGTAAGTTTTGTGCAACGAGGCCAAGATCTAAAATCAATTATTTCTGGTGTGCAGCAATATAGACTGCGGCCACATTTGCCACCCACATCCAAAAATTATGTAATTAACAAGACCAAATCATCAGTTTTGATAGGATGAAGTATCTACCTGTATAAGGATGAGGCATGTACTACAAAGCATTGATTTGAAGACAAAGACAAATAAATCATCAAAGTTTGTAAACTTGCTAGGGAGAAGAAGGATCTTTTTTTTTGTTTGGGGGGGGGGGGGGGTGTTTCACAAAGATCCTAAGTCGAATTTATCTCTAAATTGGACTAAACAATAATGGAAAGCCGTTAACATCTATGAAAATATTTTGTTAAAAGTTATTTTAAAAGGCATAAAATGCTGATACAAATCATTCATATTTTCTGTTATCAAGGAGATTTCATTTTTTTTATGTCAAATTTATAAAAAGTCTAAAATACTTGAATTTTCGTTTTTTGAATATATTTTATTTTAAGGCTACAAATGGCTCTCCATAATTTTTAAGTCCAACTTATGAGTTAAGTTTAACTTAGCATCTTTGTGAAACACCCCCCAGGCAAATGCCACAAAGTTTCTTACCCCTGTCTCTGAACTCTGCTGCCAAGCCAAATATGAATCCTGTCTCCTTCTCCGCGGCCCAGATCTGATTAGCCCGACCATTCTTCTCCGGCTTGACCGGTTGGAGGACCACCGATTGACCCAAGAGGTCAGGTGGGGGTGACCCATCACCGGGAGTTGCGTTAGGAAGCGTGCAGGTCAAGACAAGGTCATCAGCGGCCTTGCATCGGATTAGGCTGTGCCAGAGAACAATGACATGATGATAAAAGATGATCATGGCTACTGACACAAAATCTATTCAAGTGTTAAAAGGTCTGGTTCTATTTGACCAATAATGATAAGGTATATATAGTAAGGTATATCACACAAATACTTAAATGATGATCAACATTTTCTGATCGATTCCACAACGTTTCTTTCACAATACAATCGCATGACCAGAACCCAACTTTATCTTTACATGAAATTAAACAAATTTTGAAGAAATACCTATTCATGGACCTTAAAATAACAGAGGAAAACTATGGATAACTTTTTTGTCAAACTGGTAACATTATCCATTAGTTTCCCATCCATCAAACTCTAAAACAGCAGAGTATACATAAAATAGTATTTTTCTTCTTCTTTTCTTTACAAACCCAATCTTTGTATATTTGAAGACTTGTCTTTTAACCAGACCACTATTTTATCTGTCATGGTTTCATTATATGATTGTGTGGATATGTTTTGTGTATGGATATTTTTTTTCTATTTATATGTATCCTCTATACTTGTAAACATATGCATTTCAGCTTTTGAGCTGCAGCATGTGCATCATTGTATTGCTTCTGAGTCTGCAATTGAAAATGTACAGACATTGGCTCTATTGGCTGCTGTTATTTCTGTTTAAAAAAAAAGACAAAAGGAAACCAATAAAACACAGGGATGAGGAAAACTATGGATAGCATTTAGCTGCAGCATGTACATCATTGTATTCTATGTTTTTCAAAATAAACCTTGAATAAATATATTTTAAACAAAAAGAAAGAAGATTGCAGTCTCACCCATCCTCCCCGATGGTCCACCTCTGATAGGCGTTGTCCACATCTTTCTTGCAGAGTACGATTGGAGAGCTGTCCGTACTGGGATCCAGAGGGCCCAGGACCAGGTAAGGCGTGGTCTTACATGCGATGTAACCATCCAGGTAGATGAACCTCTGGTGGGACTGACGAGAGTTAGAGCCAGGGCGGGGCGACTTTGCTTTGGGTCTGTCATGGACAAACAAAGATTGATTGATTGAAAAGGTTTTATTATAATTGTGGAGAACAGGAGAGAGTTTGAAAGTGGATCAACGATGATTACAGCAATACTGTAATACATTTTAAACAATGTGTTTACATAATAAAAGAGAATCTATGGGTTGAAAAAAAAGAAAGATAATTATGGAGAAAAGGAGAGAGTTTGAAAGTGGATCAATTGACTTGCAAACAATCAAACACTGTGAATAATGACTCACTTGAGTTTATGATAGAGATCTGGGTTGGTGTATCCATCGGCCTCGCCTCCTGATTGGTTGTTTGCATCTGAGACTTCGTCCAGACCGATGTTCAGCACCTTCTCCCACGGCCACTTCAGACCCTCCTGCTTCTGATCTGCTATCATGTGTGCTTTCTGGTGGGCACTGCATGTCAAAGAACACAACACAACACTCAATTCATGGGACATCTTCGTACGTAAAAGACTACATATGCATATAACAGATCTGCTATCATTTGTGCTTTCTGGTGGGCACTGCATGCATGTGAAAGAACACAAAACACCATTCAATACATGGGACATCTTCGTACGTAAAAAGATTACATATACAGTAGACTTGTGGTTGCACCATGTGGGAGAGGGGGGAGGATTGGGGAGACCAGAATATATTTTATTTAAAGGCTCTCCATAAGTTTTAAGTTCAACTTAGGATCTTTGTGAAACACCCCCCAGGACATGCCGGCTGGCCAGCTATACTCACCTCATGTTCTCATAGGGATCACCCGGTGCCGGCGGTTCATCCTGGGGCTGGTCTGGGGTAGGTCCTCGAGCTAACTTCTCTCTATCCTCATCGCTAAGGCAACATGAATTGACGATGAGAGGACTTCCAGCACCCAGGGCTCCAGATACCTCCAGGCAGAGGGCTGGTTGAATGAGAGGCAAGGAGATCAAAAGACAGAGGTAATTGCATGTGGAAACACACCTCAATAGATTGATGAGCTACCTGACCCTAAGAGTCTCCTAAAGACTCCTATGGGGCATTGCAAGACAGTTGCAATCAGTTGCAAATCCCCAAAATCAAGCGTAAGTCTTGCAATTAATTGCAAATTTGCAATCGAGACAGAAAGAGGGGAGAATAAAAGCTAGATCCAGTAAACTTAATTTAATTGTGAAAACTTTAATCCTAACAAAATTTTCTGAAATTCAGGAGACTAGTGGGGCGTCGCAAAAAGTTGAGTTGCAATCGATTGCAAATATCAGTTGCAAATTTTGCAACTTGCAATCAATAGCAACTTACAAAAATTTCTTGCAAGAGTGCATCTTGATTGCCTCAATGTTCACACATTGACTGCTGATGTCTATCAATGCCATAGGCTTTCATACAGAATGTCATCATTAAACACGTAACCAAACCAAGTGTGAACTCACGACCAGGGTCTCTCAGTGCACAGTACATCTTGATTGCATCTATGTCCCCAGCCAGAGAGGCCAGAAGCATCCGTCTCTGCTGCTGCTGAGTGGTAAGCTTGGGGTTAAGCCATGCCTCGCCGCTGCTCACATACACCAGCTGATCTCTGTCTACGTCCTCCAGTGTGTGCAGCTCCTTGCCGTTCTCATTGAAGAGACGTCGCGCTGCGAATGGCAGATTGAGCTGAGGAGTGCACTTGTCCAAGAACTGTGGGGAGATGCAGCAAGTATGATTAATTTTTGTAACAATTATGCATGGAGGTTGACTTATTGTACTATAAATTGTATGGTAACATTGTCATCGTTATTTTATTTATTTATTTATTTATTTCGTTTTATTTCAACATGGGTAGCCCCATCAGTAGATATGATTATTGTTATTGTTATGATTGTTGTTATCATTATCAACATCATAATAATAACCTCCAACATCATCATCATCATTAATTCAGCATCATTATCGTCATTACTATTAAAATTACTATTAAAATTAAAATTAAATTAAAATCATCATCATCATCATCATCATCATCATCATCATCAACATCATCAACATTTTCATCAACATCATCCAGGGATGCCAGTTAGAATTGATCAGAGGGCCTAAAAATCACCTAGAATGAGCTATTTTGTACACAGAAAAAGCCTTAACTATAATCCCTGATCATCCTTATCATCATCAACATTATCCTCAATTCTCCATCATCATTATAAATTAAGCATCATTATCATTATCATCATCATCCTCCTCATTATTATCTTATGTGTCAATCCTACTGACCAGTTGAAACTCTAGTTGTTTGAGATTCACTTTCTTGGACTTCAGCTTGGCCGCCATATCCTCCTTGTTCAGAGACCCTGACCGACGATGCCTGTGAGGGCGCTTTCCATTCTGAGCTGTTCGATTTAAATCCTTCATCATCTGGAGACAATGTAAATGATATGAAAGTCAGAGCACTGAGGAATTACTCACTTGTAATTCACTTGATCCAGGATTATTCAGTCTTTAGACTGTTGTTCCTATCTATGGTTTCCTTTGGTTGGGGTTGTCATCATATTTATCTGGGGCATCTTTCCACCACTTCTCAAGTCCAGATTTGAAGCGATTCATAGTGGTACTCTCCACAACATCGCCTGGAAGACCATTCCACACATTGATTATTCTCTGGCTGAATGAGTTTTTCCTTAGTGTCTTCCAGCATTTTAGCTAAGACACCCACGTAGTTCTGTATTGCCCAAATTTTTCACAGTGTAGCTCTGTCTTGAAGTCCTGTGCAATGAATGAGTTTTTCCTTAGTGTCTTCCAGCATTTTAGCTAAGACACCCACGTAGTTCTTACTGACAAAGGACTAACTAATACTTTGCCATGGAATTAGTTATTCATAAGTCATGACAATGATTCTTATTGCTCGTAATACTTAAGTAATGTCGAAAATTCAGATTCCAAACAGATTCCAAAGTGGCCAATCTTTTAGCTATTTGTCATAATATAATGTAAATATAATGTAAATATCTGTTTGGTGTGCTTTTGGTCTGTCGTCGGTTTTACTTGCGTAGAAGGCAAAGGTTCCAATTAATTGCATTTCTTTTATTCATCATTCAATAAAAATAAAGACTAGAAAGCCACGAATAATAGCTTCCTCCGAAGGGTAGTTGGAGGAATAAATAATTCTGTGTCTCCAAAACCAAAGGCTACTTACATTGGTAAGATCAGGACCCACCACATGGGCCATCCTGTTGAGATCTTTCTCTCCATTCTTCATCACTCTCAGTCTCAAGGGAACAGCTGCAGAGAAAACAACCAGAACAGAAATTGGAGAAGGGTGAATTCTGGTAAAGGTGAAAACTAATTTCATTTTTGTTTGTCGTGATATAGAAGAATATTGAAAAAAGATTTCTCACAAAATTAGCTTAATATTTCAAATGACTAGAAATAGTTTTTGACTGTAAATCAAATTAAAAAGACCCATTTCTGTATGTGAAGCTTTTCTCTAGTAGCGATTTTAAAGGGATTGGGTAACTTTGTGTCAGATTCTGAAACAAAATCCTGGATTTAGCTCATGCTGCAATGATAATTATAAACCTTTAGGTCAGTCAGGAATCCCATGACTTTTTCGTTTTCCTAACGGTTTTTATTACACTACAGTCTATTGGGAAAAATAAGTATGGTAAAACCAGTCATTTAAAAACTTTTTTGAGGCACTTCATGATCATTTTGAAGCGCAATTTTTTTAGGGCTTCAATATTACACCATATCACAGACACTGATGACACGTAGGGCCATGCATCTCAGATTTAACATTTTTAAACGATGCCTTTAAAATGATGCACCTGAGATACTCACTTCTATATTCCTCATTAGTATCCTCGAGCGCTCCTACAGAGCTTTTACTCCTGATGGGCGGGGCATAGGCGATGAAGTAACCCTCCATCGGCCAATCAAAGCTCTTATTGATGTCCCCTCTCCAATCCACCGGCCAGGAGTAGGCCAGCTTGCTCCATGTAGGATTCGTTGACATCAGGTCGTTGTGACGCCATTCTCTCGGCCGATCCAGGTTCTCCTGCTTCAGGGCCCATCTGAAAAAAGCAATGATAGATTTATGTTAATTAATTTCCCATACCTGTATATGTCTCATCTTTTTTCTTCTTCTTCCATTTTGAGTCAGACCTCTTTACAGAGTATAATCGTTCTATACTGGGGTGTGTGCAGGTGGACCACTACACCAGGGTTTCCCCCTACTCTTATACGAATAGTGCAGTGGGTTCTTAACGTGCAAAGGTAGTGACTCTTCTCTACACAGGGCCTCTATTTAACGTCCTGTCCGAGGGACGGAGTGTTTTCCACTTAAAGGGAAAGTCCACCCCCAAAATAAGTTTGTTTCGATAGAGGCAGAATAATAAGAAAATCAGGTGAGTGAAAGTTTGAGCAAATTCTGAATGAAAATAAGAAAGTTATGAATTATTGAAGTTGTGATCAATCAAATACAAATTGGCAACTCTGTGACTTATTATACGAGCTCTCCTTCATTTGCTTTGTGCATAATATTCCATAAAATCATTTTTTCTTCGTTATTGATGACGGAATATATATTTGTTCCTTGCAGGGGGAGTATAGAAACATATTTGCAATTATTATATTTAGGGTGCATGTATGGTTTAAATTTTTCTTGAGGGAAAATGAAAATTTTAGATTTTTTTAGTACTGAGCAAATGGAAGTTGAGCTCGCATGATACGTCATAGAGTTGCCAATTTGTGTTTGATTGATCACAACTTCAAAAATTCATAACTTTCTTATTTTCATTCAGAATTTGCTCAAACTTTCACTCACCTGATTTTCTTATTATTCTGCCTCTATCGAAACAAACTTATTTTGGGGGTGGACTTTCCCTTTAACAAAGCCTGCGTCTATGAACAAAGGGAGGGGCACGTTAACACACAACGCAGGCTTCAGTCATTCGTCTGGGTCGTAAGAACATGAATAAAGAAGTATATATATATAAAAACTCAGTCCACAATACAGTGTATTAAAGAAGAGGAGTGTGTCATTATCAGGTGCACAAGACAAATAGAGGAAACACATTCCATGGAGATTTAATGGGATTTTGTATCTATGTCTCAAATTCTGGATTTAGCTCATGCTGCATTTGGTAAATTACTCACTGAAATCAATTTGATGAAAACAGATAAATTACCTCTGTGACTTGGCCCATCTGTGTTTGTCTGCTAGCTTCTCCATACCCATCAGCACGAACTTGTGACCTTTGAACCCTGGCTTGGGCGGGCCTTCCTCCCCTTGCTCCTCCCCATAACTGTCTTCTAATTGGTTGGCTTGGCTGTTATCTCCAAGCCAATCACCAGGTGAGACTCCTCCGCTGCCTCCTCCCCCTCCTCCAGCCAGCGTCAACTCTGTGTCCTGCTGGTCGTCACTAGAGGGCGCTTCTACGAAGGTGAGAAGCAGGTCTTGGTTGGCCTGAGGGGAAGAAAAGTAGCAGAACAAAATGAAGTATACTCTTGGGTTATGCAATATCATCCAGACCACTCTGTCATTGAAATAATAAATAAACATGTCATAAACGGGTAGCTTTTAGACTTTCAAAGTACACTAAAAATATGCTAAAAGGTATGTACATGTATAGTGAAAATTATGACCAAATCTAGAAGAAAACCCTAGAATTGGCTGCCATTTTAGTATGTCATTTTGGGGACCTTACTAAAATGCATTGCAGTGAAAATTATTTTATTGTAATTTGTTTGACCTCAAAACACAATATTCCTAGCCTATTACGAAGAGGTAGCTATATGACAGCTTTGACAGAACTAAATACATCTGGAAAGGTAAGAATTTTTTTTTTTTTTTTTTTGAAATGTATACTTCTATTTTAAAACATTGGATGTAGTTTATTCATAACAAAAATAAATCTTTGAAACAAAAAAAACAACAGAAATGTGATCATACAATTCATGTTACGACTGAGCTTGAAAAGACAATGTTAGACTAGATATTTACCCAATTGGCTATTCTTCCATCATTCAAGAAAACCCATTGTTGACCATTCATGCCATCCTCTCTGTAGGAGAAAAACATAATATATCACAAAGATGACACAAAATAAAAGGTTACAAAATAATAATTTAGAGCTTTTCATTCAGTGTTTAAAAGAAAAGACAGCAAAAACCTTGAACGTTTATTATACTCTCTAAACAGAGTTTCAGGGAAGTTTCTTCTTATCTATTTAAACAAATTACCTGGAGCAATTAGGATGCATATTGGTCGGAACCCCAAAAAGTCAAATTACAAGTAATAACTAAATTAATAATGATAACATTTAAAAAGCGCTGAACATTATATGTTTCTAAGCGCAAAATTAAAATGTAACTACTATCCATACATTTGTTATAACACAATTGTGGAATAAAACCAAACTACTAATATCACAACGTATCATTGCTTTGATAATGGCGACTAAACAGAGCACTTGTGATACTTCACATCATCTGTTTGGAGCCAGAAGGGCATTAACCTATGTTGTATATGCTTTAACACAGCTTTAACACAGATTATAAAATGATGAAGCGGATCCTAATCAAATGATTGGTTGAGAGCGTACACATGACCATGCAGGCATTTATTTTGACTAACACGTAATTTGACTAATGACTGGTCTTTAGTAAAATCTTGTTATAAAACATAATTTTATAAATCAAATAAAACGTCATCTTATAAAACAAATAATACACATCCTTTGTTCAGACATGAGTAAACTTACCCACACATTCAATACCTTCAAAACAGTTGAAACAACCTCGCCTCGGGCCTGTTAGAATGGTCCAAAGGTACCATGTGGGGGTAATTCTTACTAATGCCCTCACTGCTGTGTATTATTTGTATACTAATGCCCTTCTAGCATATAAGTATTGGTGTGTACTGCAAAATGATAAGAAATTGTTGCAGTCTTGGTAAAGTAACAAGCACTGTACACAAAAAGATGTATATGGGGCTACACGAACATGTGGCATAAAAATCTGTCCCGATTTTTATGTTGATAAGACAGCTTGGTAGAAGTAGTTGCTTACCTCTCCAGTAGAGAGACAGGTATCCCGTAGGTTTCACTGGAGCTCCCTGGTAGCTTGACATTCACTTCCCACTCAGGACCCCGGTTTAACATCAGGGTTAGCGCCAGCTTTGGGTGTGATTTAGAGTAGATTGCACCATCCTAGGATCGAAGATAGGATAAAGATGCACAAGTTAGGAACCCAAGAATTAGAATCAGGAAGAATCAAAAATGGTTGGGAGAATTTACTGTTGATCACATAGTGACGCCTTCAAAGAAAACCACAAATATCTTCGTGGTTTGAGAATTTTTTCAGGATTTTTTGCCCTTTAAAGGGTTAGTACAGTAGAAGGAATATATATGTAATAAGTAACATTTCATACAAAAATCATGCAGTTTTTTCATCAACATTCAACAATGTTACCGAGTCACTGTAATGACGACCACTTACTTTATTGATACACCATGACTGTGCTCTGAGAGGCCAGACTTTAGATGATTTCTGTTTCTCCGCTACCGAGATCTCAGGATATAACATCAGACTCTCATCATCCTAAAAGAAAGAAAGAAAAGAAAAGTTTAGAAATATTTAGAGATGAATCTAAATTCAAGTACATCTTCCCAATTTAAAGAATACCCATCTCTGGAGTATGTGCTAATACTGATTAAAGTTCACCTTAAATAAATAAAGAGAAAGCAATAGATTTTTCACGTTTGTGTTCTTGATCAAAGAGGAAAATGGTTTCCCCAATTTACTCATCCTTATAGGCCCATCATTTACATACACTTCAAATATATGCGACTATCTAACCAGGTTATAAAAGAGTGAATTCGAGAATACCAAGTCAGTATCAGAGATACATTATACCACATTTTAGATTTTTTAGATGCAACCTATATTTTGAAGGCAAAAACTTGGCTAAAAAAAGTCTAGTGGATATCAATGAACCTTAAAATGACACAAATCCTGTATTAATCTCATATGTATGTGCATGGCTAAAACACTGCCAGATGTTCTAGGCAGTACTTAGGGATCAGGGACCTGTTTCACAAAGCCTTTTTACAATGACAAATGACAAAAATCAGTGTCAAATCTGTTGACAACCAATCAGAAGCAAGGATTTCAGTAGCTTCAGGGTGCTACAAGAATTTTTTTCACCACTTGCCCTGTCGGGCAAGTGGGTTTTCAATTTACTTGCCCAAACAATATTTCCACTTGCCCAAAACTTTAAAGCGAAAAAGGACTCGAGGTTAAAGCATTTATTATCTCGTAATGATAAGTTAGTGTTTTAGATAGCAAATTAATGCACATACATGTACAGTGTAACTGTACTGAATAATAACCTAATATGTCAAAGAAAATGGTCAACAAAGGATGGTTGAAGGTTTAAAAAACGCATTTTATTGATTCTCCATAAATAATCAGATTCACATTCATCTGATTTATATGAGCAGCGAGTTTTAAATAATATGTTCACAATCATTAACAGTCATTATGAATAAATATCAAACATTTGACTTTTTGTACTTACTAGAAAATCCCTGTTGTTTATTCCATTCCGATTCGCACGTGTTCATTTCCCTAGAATAATGACGTCATATTTGGCGTGATTCAACCAATCGGCAATCAGAGAATAGCAAAGGCCTGTCGGTGCGGCCTGCAGAGCTAGAGAGAGAGAGCGCGAATAAGCTCGCAGCTGGTACGATCGCGCTAGCTGTCTCTAGCTAGCTCACGGCCGGCCGTGCGTGGAGGCGGAGCGGCATTCATGGCTTGAAGTGTCACTGTTGCATGCGCGCTGAGCTAGCTGAGCTGGCTAGCTGTCTGTGAAGTTTTTTCGAAATCGGAACGATCGCTTTTTTGCTTCTGGATTTTGACGACGGGTAAGAAGTTGACGGGTGAATGGTAGAGTTCTTGGACACTAGGAAATTACTGTAAAAGTATCACTTGCCCGAATCGGGCAAGTGATAATTTGATTTACTTGCCCGACGGCTCAATTTGGTTGCCCCGGGACGTCGGGCAAGCGGGTTTGTCGCGCCCTGAGCTTATAACAAAAACTGTCATTTGTCACTGAAGACATGTTTTGTGACCCCCTCCCCCTCATTGTTGTTGTCCTTAAGACATGGGTTCTAGAAGCCTTACCTCATGTTGTAAGTAGTGTGTGTCTGAGTGAAGGTCATGAGCTTTCATGTCCTCTTTGACCTTCTCTCTGACCTCTAGGGGCGTGTCTTCGTTAATCTCCTGGTAAGCCTCCTCCGGGAAAAGGTCACGCATCATCCATGATGTATGCCTGCATGGGTCAAAGGTCAAAGGTCAAGTACAATTTATTAGAGTCTTCGTCTTCTTTGATATACTCCTCAACGTCCCCGTAGGAACCAAACAAGGAGGATGAGGGGATGCGCACTGTTGCTTATTTAGTTCTTATTGCTCGAGTCTTGGTTGTGGAAAAAGTTGGTTGCTTGGAGTTTGAAGGTGTCAATTTGTTTGCAGTCCTTTGGATGTTGGGGTAGTGTGGAGCCATTTGAAGAGGAGTAATCATGAATAACCATTCCTGGCATTGGTTTCTCACAGAACGTACAAAATGTGGTCACAAATCTACAGAATCCACCTTTTTTGATAGTTCATTATTGAAGGAAAAAATATTATTTAAAGATCATAATTGAGAGACCAATAGTGAGAGCAACCAGTGGCATGAGTGGCCTGTCATAGTTAAGTCCAACATAAAGTAGATCTTAGTCTTTGTGAAAAAACCCTGGATTATGTACCTTTCTCCCCCTTCAGGTAGTTGATCAGCAAGTAGAGCTTCTCTGATGACAACCCTCTGTGCCTCTCCATACGCCTGGGAGTAATCCTTGTAACCTACCGCTTTATCCAACGTCAGCTGAAGGCAGTAGACTGACAAGAGAAAAAAGATAGCTCATCAATAGATTTTGACACTCGAGAATATACGACACATGTTTGGTGACAATTGCTACGTGGTCAATTCAGAACACTATCCATAGTCCATGGAATCAACACTAAATATACAACTAACCCTAACACTGAACTGAACATAAACTCAAATGCTTACCATATCCTAACCTCAACCCTCTCTCGCTGACAAACTGAAGCCTGAAGAGATTAAATCAAGCCGTTTATACATGTAAACCAAGTTCACTGTGGAAAGTTTGTTCATATCTGCCTGACATAAAAAAGAATAGTTTATCCCGGCTACTATATTCCACAGTTTTTCTAGGTATAGACCTCTCAAGAAATTAAATAGAAGCTCTTATTACCAATCATGTGAAAGAACATGTTTTGACTAATACGTGATGATACAAATTTTGCCGGGAAACCGCCTAGTAATTGATATATTTGGTAAATTATTATATCTATCCGAACCAGATAGATATCGTGCACGTGCCTTGTAGTCCCTTATACATCTTTCTGTGTACAGTGCTTGTAACTTTACCAAGACTGATGGGCCAAATTTCTTATCATTTTGATGATTCCAGAACCTTGCAGTACACACCAATACTTATATGCTAGATGATCAACCTTTTCTGATCGATTTCACCATCGATTCTGAACGTTACTTTCACAATGCAACCGCATGACCAGAATTGGTCTTTACCTTTAACATGAATAAAAATCAATTGAATATTAGGAACACATTTGTCTTACCATGAGGATCTCTGTAAGGTTCACCGAATGAAAGCCAGACCTTCTGGTCATTCTTGAGATCATAAACATTGGTGATCTCCTTGCCCTTGTGATTGAAGACCTTGGTGACGATGGTGCTGAGGGCTGTGGTGTTCTGCTCCGGCCTCACCCAGCGGGTTATGGTATCCAGCAGCTGTTAGAAAGAGCAGTACAAATAATGAATAAGTAATAATAATAATAACTATTTCTTATATGGCGCTTTTTCAGGAGGGCCCTATCAAAGCGCCTTACAGTTATAATACTATTACGCCGGTCGTCGGATTCATAGCTTATTTAAAGGGTATTTAGGCCCATTGCATAACAAATTACCACTAATCGTAACTTTGCCATCAATATTAACTACCATGGGAACATCACTCAACAGCAAATCAAATGGAAATTACCAGTAGTTAGTTTTATGTAATGGGACCCTTGGTAGGAAGGAGTTCTTTGAATGCTGTGAGCATTAAAATCTTCAACTTAGCTAGAGCTGGGGAATTATTGGAGTGGCCTGAGCACCCTTCTACGATTTAAACATATATGGCTAAATATTATTATTATTATTTATTCCAAATAAGCAATAACTACATGGATCTTAAAAACAGCTCTTATCCCATTAAAAGCAATCTTGCTGAGATAAAGGAACATAAAAGGTGCCTTGAGAAATACAGCTATTACAAGATATTCTTGAGATTGACCTCACCCTTTGCATAAGTAAGTTTTGATCTCCCTGGACTCCTTTAGATGCCTCCTTCATATTGAAGAACACCGTCTCCTCTCCATCATTCCGTCCATTCTCATACACCTGTGTAAAAACAACATCAAAGATAAGATTTAAAAAGTTCTTAGAGTGGTACACATAAGATTCTAAGGTACAGTGCACTGTGTCCTCTCTATCAGGTAGCTTACACATATGCATAATTTCTTAGCAGTTAGGTTAAACAAACAAGCAAATTATACATACAATGTAAATATAGATGAAGGGACTTAGGAAAGCCTCAAACAGCGGATACATGTAACTACATTGACTGCATTATCTTATTTCTTGAGAAGAAATCAGCCAAGAGATGCTGTTTGGATGAGAGCCTGTCAGCTAAGAGGCTTAATGTTTGTAGAAAACTTGGCAGTTACTTTTGGATTTAACCATCACTGAAACACCCACAGCTTTGAATTCACACTGTTGTTGTTGTTGTTGTTTTAGTTTTAAGGGCGTGTGTCATTCAATTGTGAATATTTACGCCGTTTCACTCAATAGAAGTATATTAGACTTGTATCCAGTTGATTTTGTAATAACTGTACACATGCTTACCTTGAGTTTGAGTCCTTGTTGTCCTACCAGCCTGTGAGAGGAGTCTAGTTCTTTCATGTGCTTGGATTTAAATGTGTGACCCTCCTCCTGCAAAGTAAGTGAGCAAAACAAACTTATTTTATTTCATTTCCTAGATGATGATGACGATGAAGATTATCTTGTTTCACTGATTTTATCCCCACCCACTTCTATTATGGCACTCATATTGAAGTCCTAGAGAACTTATGGTTTGCAGGGATGTAGCATGTAAGAGCTTGTAAAAAACAAATGAAATCTCCTATCATTACTATTATAATCATTATCATATCATACCATGAGTGCCAGTAGTGACTACATAGCTACAATACTGTACTTTCAATGTTCCCTTTTGGGGCGCAATGACTTACCCATTTCAGAAGATCAATTAGAATACAAGTCTAAGGATACACTATACATACATGCAGGTTTGCAATAACAGGTATTGCACTTATGAAAGGCAAAATGTTATACTGTAACAGTCCTGCATCTGACTGGTCCTATATAGCTAAGCTTAATGGGATATTACAGATGTATACTTTAAAAACAAGAAAAATGGTTGAAAAAAGGGGAAAATGGATTCCAAATCAGTATCCTACTCACCATCTCCATGGCAGCCTTATCGCTGATTGAATCCAGGATGTCATCTGTTTTACCTCGGGCTTCATGGAAATCTTCTATCAGGGTCTCAACCTATTGAAAAATCAATGATAAGCTTATTATACCTTGGAAGTAGGCATAATGTTATACAAAACTTATTTGCCCCTCTGTGTTCGCTAGTGGGTTACTCTTGAAATTGAACTGTGCAGTTATGGATGAACATGGACAGTTGAATAATTCATCAGGATTAAACTTGTCAGACCTTCTTCAGTGACCAGTACTTGTCAAGATTTGATTTGAAAGAATTGAGTGATGGACTTTTTTGCTACATATGATGGGAGACCATTCCACTTATATAAGTGTTTTTTTTTTTAGGGATATTTTTTAGCACTACATTTGTTTGTGTTTTGCAGATGCAAGTGCGCCACACTAAGACCCGTATTACTAATTAAACACTGTAAAATCCCCCCCCCCCCAAAAAAAAAAGAAGAATATTGGCTGAACATGATTGTTTATGTAACTTTATACGTACATATATAACTACATTCCTCACATTTAGATCCAACTAAATACTGGTTTAAGATGCAAATTATCACCTGTGTAATCTCTTTATCCATGACAGCCACCTCGCCTGCATTGCCCCTGTCCTCCGCTGCCTGTCTGCCCTGCCTGAGCTCTCCCAGACGTGCCTTACTCATCTTAGTCTGCTGCTTACAGATCTTCACTATCTCAGTCAGGAAAGCTGGATGAATAAACAAAGATTAAAAAGGATAGTGATAAAGAACGTAGCAATTCATTAAATCGATACAGTACAACTCAAGTCTTAAGTTGTATTGTCTGATGAAATATGGTAATTTCACTTCTACAGTTGATGCAATATTCATGCAATTGATACAAATAATTATGAGACACATTTCACATAAATGTAAAAAATGAATTCTAAGTCACACAATATATCATGCTTGTGGTGTCCTATTACCAAAGAACTGAATAATTAATATGTATTATGAGCAAATATGGTAATTAAGTTTATTCATATATTCTATCACACAATCATTCACTTCCTCTTTGTTCATATTCTTCATTCATTCATATATCCATCTATCCATCAATCCACCACTTCATTCATTGACTACTCACTTTTAGCTCCTAAAGCACTGAATCTTTCTCCCTTTGAGACCCAGACAGGCCCAAAGATTGGCGTGGTACTACTCTGGAGACAGCCATCTAATCTGGGTACTGCAATGCAATGGAGGGGAAAAGATACAAATAATAAAACTATGAAAATTGCTTATTTACGTTGTGTCCCCTGTTATAGCATATTGCAGTATCTTCTTGCTGTTCTTTCCAGACGGTAAATGGCTATAACGCATATATGAGTGATAACTGATAATTGATTAATATGAATAAAAATCAATTAAATATCAGGAACACATTCGTCTTACCATGAGGATCTCTGTATGGTTCACCGAATGATAGACCTTCAATAGATGCACCAGTGGTATGAAGTTGTTGATCTTAAGCTAAGTTTTTTAAGAAGTTATTGAGAACATAGTCCTTTTCATGGAAAGGTCATCACTATTTGATCTCAATAAAAGTTGGTCCCTCATTCAAACTTGCCAACCTTGCAAAGCTGATATCTTTTTTTTCAAAAACAAAAATAAAAAAGAGTGTACTTTGTTGTGTACTGCTCATTAGTTTGAAGGCAAAATGAAACTAATAAAGAACTAACAAAAAAGAAATGAATAATTCCTTGACAAGAGGAACGGTTAGTAAAGCTCTACTCTACATGTACAAGCAGGCTTTCTTATTATAATAATAATATTTTTGCTTGTATAACACTTAATACGGCGCTTTACATTATTACCCCAGTCATCGGATTCCGCACACAATGTATGCAATTTCTCCACTCCCTGGGGAGCATTCCAACAAGAGCTACTAGGCTGAAATTGCTAAGCATACCACATTGGCTTTCACATCCTACCGGCCGGTCGGTACCCATTCACCACCTGGGTGGAGATTGGCAAATGTAGATCAATGTCTTGCCAAAGGACATTAGTGCCGTGGCGGGACTCGAACCTTGTGATCCACAGCCCGGTGACATATCCACTCGTCCACGACATCCTCATGATACTTACACTCATTGAGATCCTCTAGTTTCTGTCCATCCCATGTGTAGATGTACCTGGCAGGACAGTTCAGGTTCAGCTTTGAAGTGCAGGAGTCCAGGAACTGGGTAGAAGATTGAAAGAAAAACAAGATTGCTGGTATATTCTACCAAAACAATAATACATTTAAACATCAACAACACCATTTACCCGTTATGGATATAATTAAAGTTCCCTAAGGCAAATAATAGATCAGTGATTTTCTAAAACCAATCTTTTCTGGCATTGTGTAACTACACATTTCTTTTTTCTTTCTTTTTGTTTTTAAAACCAGGTTCAACATAATGAAAAGATATTTAAATGGACAGTAAAGTAACTTTCTAGCCCATGTGAAAACTGCTCCCGAGGACAATTAATCCTAGCACATCTTCACCCCCAGCTAGGACAATTACCCGCAGGAATACCCTCCCTAATAACAAGAACAACACATATTTAACAACAGAAACCTAAATACATGTAAGGGATTATGTGGTTGTTGAGGGGGTGACCAAGATATATGTTTCTCACCTGATTGAACTGGTCTAGATTGGCCACTACCTCATGAGACTCGGAGGCATCACCATTGAGAAACACCATCACACGACGCATGCCTGATGATAGCATATTCCTGGATAAAGAAGATGCATAATATAGTAATCAATAAGATAAGAAGTGACTATTTCATCTTCTACAAATCCGTAACCTCAACTTTTATTGGCCACTTCTTTATGAAACATTGATGATGGAAAGTATCACACAACCTATACCTGATGAGTGAGAAGACATGGAATTAGACTATTGTGTATGCACCATCATTAAATCAATCATAGCTTCATGTACATGTAGTACAGAACTAACAGGGACAGCACAAAGAAAAGTATGATTTGTCCCGAAGAGTGGATGCACAACCAGCAGATGTACATTTCTAGAAACGTTTATTGATTTATTCATCTATTTTCTATTAATTTCATTTTATTCATATAACGTGCATTAGTTTGACTGTTACCTATCTACATGCCACGTTTGAGTCTGTATGTCATTTAATGTGTATGCACTGGTAGGTTTAATATAGCTTCTCTTTCTCCATATTTTTTCATCCTTTCATTATAAAAACAAAGCATTTGACCACAATTTATGTTGGTTCTTTCTGCTGGACACAAAACAGTTTTCAGGGTATGCTAGCTACAAGTGGAAGATTTTACACATGGAGGAAAGTCACTCACCTCATTCTCTTTGACAATATAGATCTTGTTTTCTTCTTGTTGCTTGGTAGAACAACGCCCTCTAGAGTCCATGCTGCTTGCATGTTCTTCTTCACAATACCTACACACAAAAGAGATTTTGTTACATTGTCATTCTCCCAGATTAAAAGTGGATTTGTATCTATTACACAACCTGCCATTTGTATCCATAAAGTTCTTCTGTGCAAGAACAATAACACAATCTGAACATATTTTAAGAAAGGTATTGTGGTCAATTAATATCAGTACATTCAAATATGTTTTGTCCTTCTTCTCTCTTATCCTAAATACTCTAAAAATGCAATTTTCTTCATCAGCATCATCGTTTTTCATTAACATTATCATCATTATCATTATCATTATCTTCAGCATTATAATTATCATCATTATCATTATCACCATTAACATCATTATTATCACCACCATCATCATTATCATCACCACCATCATCATCATTATCCTTATCTTCAATTTTCTTCATCAGCATCATCGTTTTCCATTAACATTATCATCATCATCATTATCCTTATCTTCAGTATCATAATTATCATCATCTTCATCACCATCATAAATAATAATAATAATAATATTGGCATTTATATAGCGCTCTTACAGACATACATGTGTATCACAGCGCTTTACAACATATTATTATTACCCCGGTCAATGTATATTCAGCATTGTCATTATCATCATCATTATCTTCAATATTTTCATCATCACCATCACCGTCACCATCATCGCATATAGGACAGGTGTGAAAGGGTTCTTGAAGGGTTCTCCTCCTGAGATGTAGACCTCCCCATCCCTGGGTATCTCCTCCGCACTCTTCACCTCCTCATCACCACCACCATCACCACCACCACCACCACCACCACCACCACCACCACCACCACCACCATCATCATCATCACCATCACCATCACCATCACCACATACCTAGAACAGTTGTGAAAGGGTTCTTGAAGGGTTCTCCTCTTGAGATGTAGACCTCCCCATCCCTGGGTATCTCCTCCGCACTCTTCACCTCCTCATCACCACCACCCACCACCACCACCACCACCACCACCACCACCACCACCACCACCACCACCACCACCACCACCACCACCACCACCACCACCACCACCACCACCACCACCACCACCACCACCACCACCACCACCACCACCACCACCACCACCACCACCACCACCACCACCACCACCACCACCACCACCACCACCACCACCACCACCACCACCATCATCACCATCACCATCACCACATACCTAGAACAGTTGTGAAAGGGTTCTTGAAGGGTTCTCCTCTTGAGATGTAGACCTCCCCATCCCTGGGTATCTCCTCCGCACTCTTCACCTCCTCATCACCACCACCATCATCACCACCAACACCACCACCACCACCACCACCACCACCACCATCATCATCATTACATACCTAGGACAGGTGTGAAAGGGTTCTTGAAGGGTTCCCCTCCTGAGATGTACACCTCCCCATCCCTGGGTATCTCCTCCGCACTCTTCACCTCCGTCCCGTCTTCAAGGAAGATCCTCCGTGCCGCAAACTCAAAGTCCAGCTTCAGGGTGCAATACTCCAGGAACTATCACAAAGAAGTAGTAAAAATAATAATAATAGCTCACATTTATAATGTGCCTAATACATGTACTTTGTTTCTAGGCGCAGCACATATATTATTACCCCATAAGATTCAGGCTTACCCACAACACAATGTCTGCACATTTTCCACTCCCTGGGCCGCATTCTAATATAGACTTTCACTTCTTTTAATAAATCTTTCCTGGATTGGATTTTACTTCACTTTAAATCGATAAACATGAAATATCAGTAGACAATTTTATTATACAATGCAAATAATTCAATACGGCACAATCTAGCATGCAACAATGTTGATTATCATCCTTTAGCTATAACCATGAAACCGCATGTAATTCCATTTTGTTTAATTTCACAAGTAAGTTACCAAATTCACAGAAAGTGTGACTCACAATTTTCATGGTAGGAGCTGTTATCTTGACACTCTTCTCTCTGCTCCCATTCCTGTAGCACATGGTTCTGATCACATGAGGCTGTAACCTGTTCTGAAATTTGCCCTTTGAACTCTGCGAGTACGTTGAGACTGACGATGCTGCAGATCGTCCACTCCATGGTCTGTAGAAAGAAAAAAAAGAGTAATTTGTCACTACGACACAAACTAAAACACTTTGTACTATTTCAACTCACCCTCTTTGACACTTAGTCACCCTAGCAGACTGGTTTAAAAGACAAACTGACAAGTCACCTGTTACAATTGAAAATGTTTAGATTCTGTTTGCTCTTTTTGTAATTCATTTTTTTAAAACCATGAGAACATAGATTTTGTTTTCTTGTAGGGGGGGGGGGGGGGGTGGGGAAAGGGTGGTCAAAGAAACATTGAATGGTTACCACCATATTGGAAATATTCAGCTAAATACTGATTCAAAGAGGTGGAGATGGAAGTGCAATTACTTGTGGCCATCGAGAATGCTGAATAATAGTAAAATATTCCTGCTTTAAATAGTTCAGGGATGGCTATAAACCTGACTGATGACAAGATCAAGAATCATGTACCTGTATGTGCTTGGATGGCACCATCTTTGGTAGACAAAGCACGGAAACCCAATCGATCTATAATCTAATGTTTTTTATACTAACACTGGACATGTCTTTTTTAAACATTTGAATTAATTCCTAAATATACACATAACTTGATTTTTTTTCGATTAAAAAAAAAATATATATTGATCATTCATAATCACATTTTTACAAACAGTCATTGGAGTAATACAGTTAAAACTAAATACTAACAATAACAAACAAAAAACAAACAAAAACACATCATACCATACAATGTAAAGCTAATGTTATAATTGCACCGCGGGGGGCTCGAGGAAACAGGCTCCTGAAATTCCAGCATAAACAACCCGATAACACACACAAAAAAAAACGACCAGCGGGTGACCACATGAATAAAAACCGCTCTCTCTGAATACCCTGTGGCACATTCTTTGAGCAAGAGATGGCAACGAATAGTCAGAAACTGTTATGAATCTACATCAAAACTTCAAAGTTCAAACAAGGATAAAAAAGATCCAATGTACATTCTATAAACATACAATTTGTGTTATGTACATTACATTCAACATAAGAAAAAGATTAAACATCGAGTTACGTACCTTGACTTATAAACGGGGGCGCTAGCTGGCCTGTGTTTTCCCTTCTTCTTCTCCTCTCCTTCCTCCTCACCGACCCCATTCTGCTTGGGCGCATCCACCACAAACCTGGTATTGATGCGCTTTCGTTCCCTCTCTGAACGAGAAGACGTCTGGGCGGCCGAGAAGGGGCGTCGACCAGACTGCGGGCGTGGCCGTCCCCTTGTGTCACCCGAGGCGGTACCGATGAGTTCTGTGTGGGCCAGGCGCTGGAGGTACGGGGAAGGGTTCTTGGGAGATCTAACCAACCTATTGGATAAGAAAAGATTAGAAGTTTATGTATGAAAAAAATATATACAATGTACAGTGTGCTGTACATGTTTAGGGAATTGGTCACCTACAATAAAGGAAATAGAAAGTGGCACCAGAATTAGTGAGCCTCAAATTTTTGGTGGGACAAATTATCTCACAAGGTAAATTATAGATAATTGTTCAAATATTGTACAATCTCCATAGAAAGCCTATATATACAAAGTGGCCCTTCAATGCTACATTTATTTCTACTGAAAGTATTTGTAACTGGTCAATATTCTTCTCCATTTTGTTGTCAGTAAATGTTTTAAATGCAAGAAAAGATTACTTTTATAAAGGCTCAATATAGCTGTCAGGGCGTAAATATTCATAAATACACGCCAAAAAAAACTAAAACAACAACAACAGCACCATTTCCCTCAGATTACATCAGCATTAATCCAAGATTTGTGAAATATCTTTCTGCTCATTAAGCAACAGATTAATGCTGGAGACTAGGTGGTATTTTGGATGGAAGGTGGAAAATATCTAGAGAATCACCTCTTCCTTTGGCCCGCCGATCTCTCCTTCTTCAAGCCCTCCAGATACTGGGCGACCAGCAGATCTTCATAGCTGATAGCGTCCATCCCTGCAGGGGTAGAGTGCCTGGCTGAACCCGGTGGTGAGCGCTTACCAACATGCACCGGTGGCATCAGAACTGAAAAAATAGAAAAGTATTATCATGATGGAAACGTTTATAGACAAGATAAGATTATTTGTCTTTCTTTCAAGTGTCACAAAGAGCATACATATCATTAGATCATTACACATTTACAAAGAGAAACAAATTATGGCAATGATGAAAACAAAGTGAAATAAAAGGACGCGGAGACCCTGGTAAACGCAGAGTTTTAGGGTCTCCTCTGGACCAAATAATTGGTTGGTACATAAATAAGCAACAAGATAAACATGATGGGAGTATATATTTGTACCTAAAATATATAAGAAACAAGAAGTGTACACAAAAATTGGGAGAGTGGACTAGACAAGACAGGAGAAAAGAGATAGAATATGAGAAATAAACAAAACATATTGCTCTCAACCTTAGCCCAATAGGTCCTTCCTGCTTTTAGAAATAAAGCACACACTATGTGTACTTTCATTCAATTCAATTCAATAATGGTTTTATTAAAAAACAATGCCTCGCAGCCAAAATGCTGAATTGTGCATGTTTACATGTACATGAGCTTCATTACATAACATTATATTTCATTTGTTACAATCATTCATTCAAACAGTATTGGTAACATTTAACAGTATTCATGTGTAGCATTTAAAATCAATCACTATATATTATTTACATTCTTAAAATCTATTAAACTTCACAATAGTAATAACAATAATTGATCAAAAGCAATACAATACATAACATACAAATAAGTAAAAATCTAATACTGAAATTATTGCAACTGTGTCTTTAACAATTCATATTCATTGAAAATTAAAAGTCATCAAAATGTTGCTCTATGTTGCCTGTTCATCAACGGTAAGTACATAATTATAAATTGATGTCTCTGTAAAAAGATAAACATATTCCAGAGTGGGTTGTAAAACATGGTTTCCTACGTTAAAACTAAATCATAGTTGGGTACGTATTAAAACATTAGATAATGATAAACATATTTATCAAATATTGTTAATATATACATTGTGTAAAAATATATTTCAATTATTCATTATTTTAGAAGATATATAAGGTATGGTATTGCACTCTTTCTAAATCTGTTAGTTTTGCACTTGTACTGGGTGTACTTTGTTGTTCTCCTCAAGCAGTAGCGACTTTCCTGTTTTTTAACTAGCCAATTCAATGAAAAGGGATTTTCTTCCAGATTATGAGCAAACGTAAGACATAATTGTTTTCTTCTTTCCTCAAGAGTCACTAAGTTACACGTTTCTAATGCAACATTGTATGAAGTATAACTACTACCCAGAATGATTCTACATGCTCTCTTTTGAATTGATTCAAGTGCATATATGTGCTGTTTTGTAAGAGCAGGAGCAGAGCTAACACTACGGTATGGAAGTAAGGTGTATGATCACGCACCCAATGTTGTGTCCTAAAATCCTTCCCACAGAGATTGCACGCACCCCTACGCAGTCTACATGTATGTGCATTGCGCGATCATGCAAAATTGGTCAAAGTTTTTATGAACATATCGAGATTCAATACCGGTACTCTATTTGTTGTGATCCTAAAGGTGATACTCAATAAATGAGGTGTCATATGAAAGGGCAGATTAATCTCCATATTTCCAAAGGGGTGTCATCTCGAAAGTATCCTGGTCAAAACAGCAATTTAAATGTTGTTAGCATCCTAGCTCAGAAATTTGCCACTTTTTAGAAATGACGCCCCGATCGATTAGTCCCAGTCGGAAGGAATCGATATATGCGCTCGTTTTTTGCTAGCCCCAACGGATCACAAGTTATTACAGTTTGAAAATGCTGTTCCCCCCAATTTTCGGATCAGATAAGTAGGGAGGCACGAGCACAGCTCAGCCCAAACCCATGGCGGCGGCGCGTAGAATCTGCACATGAATATGCAATACGAACTGCGTGTGACCCATGGGTGTGTTTGTGTATTGGTTGCGATCGCACTCAAGTAGCGCATGCAGCTAACCAACATGCATAAGCTTGCATATTTCGCAATGCCGTTGTTTTGCTAAATTAAGCAAAACAAAATAACTCTGCGTGTTTGTCTTTTTCGTTGATTCTGGCAAAAATTGGATGAATATTGAGGGGCTGTGTCTTTTGATAAAAACGTCGGTGAGTCTTGAAATTTGAAATTTATTATTTTGATTAAATATTTTTTTCAATTATCCAACCATAATGGTGAAAAACGATACAAAAGTGAAAATTGAAAAAGTTCAGACACCCTTATGATGGAAGTGTGATCATATTTTGGGTGCTGATCGATGTTCTTTCTTCTTCTTCAACATTCAAGTGAACCCATTGACATTGCAAATCTGATTGCACAATCACAGACTCACACTCACAAACCATTGCAAACAGGCTGACCAACTGACTCTGTCGTCTTTAGTTTGACTTCACTTCCAACAAACTTTTTCACTGATTCAGCTCAGTTCAATCGCACTCACATCACAGTCTATGAAGTCATGTACACTTCTTCAGTGGTGAGCTGAGCTGGAGCGGTCACTGGAGCTGAGCCTGAGCCCTGGCTGAGGACAACATTTCAAAATTCAATACAAAATACAATTCACAGTAGCCTAGACCTACACACAACCAGGGGGAGTCATAGTACGTCATGCAGCAAGTACCTTCTCAAGGCAACTCCCAGTCTCTCTGAGTTTGACTAGACTAGGTCTAGACCTATATACTTGAGCATTGGACCTTGGGCTTGCGGTTTGCTTCGATAAGCCTCCGATCGCGCTCCCTAGAGTTAGGAGCATGAGCATTGACATCACCACTCGGGCTCGGTGGGGCTCAGGACAGGGCCACCGGCCATCCACCAACCAAACAGCTAACGAAAACGAAAAATAACCCACTCAGTTCAGACTTTTTTACACATAATTAAACCATTTTCACAGCAATTTACCTATCAAATATAAATGTAAATGTTATTCACACTTACCGATTTGTCAGGATTCTTCTTCAGTTGTAAAATAACGGTTAATTTTCCATAAACATAGACGTCAAGGAGATAAAGTTACCAACCGATCGCAGGTATTCGCTGTGGATTGTCATGGTGACGTCAGGTTAATGGGCAGCGAACGTTTTCTTCACTCTGAGACCGTAGAGGGCAGTAAACAACTGAAGAAAGGGGTAAGTATTTTGTGAAGAAAATTGCTAAATAATGATATTTTTAAGTTTACATTTATTTCTCTGCTTATCATATCTTCTATTTAATGGTACATTTCATGAGATGTTTCATCAATGGTGCAATTTATTATAGTTATTTGCATGGAACAGACCACATACGTAGCACGAAAAGGTCAATATTTGTTACTACAGTCCCATATAATATAGATCTAGTTCTGTGTGTGCGTGTGGAATATGTCTTTAAGACTTTAGGGGTGGGGCAGACAGGTGAGTTCTAAGTGTGTGCGTTTTTGTCTGTGGGTATGTTGGTGATTACTCCCAAAAGTCAATAAGAATTAAGATACTCTAAGTCTATGTCTCTCTGCATATTATTTAAGACCTGCCATGCTCCTAGGCTAAGTAAGAATTTTTACTAAGATAAGCAATGAATGAGGATCATCCGCATAATTGAGGATCGATCGTCTTCGTATTAAACACGTCCGCAAAAATAAGGAATGCCCGCCTTTCCGATACGCGCGTTGGCGATGTGAAAAGCAGATTCTGCGAAGATTTTCTTGATGTATTTTACATTGACTTTGTACAGAGACTTTCACGTTATGAGCGATAAATCCTTGGGAAGACGGACAACCCATAAAAGTTGACGATGAGTTGGGGTTATTTTTTTAAGCGGAATCTCTTTTTCGCATCGCCATCTCGCGGTTCAAGAACCCAAAACCCACAGAGCGCTGATGAAAAGAACGTCTGCGAAAATGAGGACGATCCTTATTTATTAGGACGCAATTTGTCCGCGTTTACGAGCATCCTCGTTTATGCGGACGATCATCATTCTCGGCCCAGTGCCCCTACTGTTTACTTTTGGAAACCACTCATTCGTCAGCACGCACATGCTCGCGTCTTTCGGATGGCGACGTTAAAGGTAGCTCGGTCCCCAGACGTAAATTTGGGGGATCCACAAACTACAAGCACTGCAAGACCCACAAGATCCACAAACTACAAGCACTGCTTTTTAGTGGATCCCCCCCCCCCCCCCATTTCCTCAGAAATTAAGAAATTCTTGTAATGATTTTATTATGTGAAAAATTTATTTGTATAGTTTCTTGAAAAAATGAATTATATATGAAATCAAATGTAATATCTTTGTTTACCTTTCTGTTGGAAATGAAATAAATATGAATATGAATAATATGAATAAATATGAATAAATAAATGATTTTTAAAAAATTAACCAATTCCACACACACACATTGTGTGGAGTCTATGCTGTGGGGTGGGAAAAAGGAGACCAATTTGTTTGCCGCAATGAAGCGCCACTGTCCGGAGCCAATGGGGGTTTCGTATATAACGATAATGCCATATAGAAAATGATTTACTTACAGCCATGTACAGTATATGACATGAGGTCAAGAAGTACATGTACATATGTACATGTAAGTTAGACTTTTTATATTTTTTTAAAAATTTACAGTTTCTAGCTTGTCTAGATCTAGTATAGTGCTGTTGATCTTAGATTATTTTCATTCCGTATTCAAACCATGAAGTAGATCTGTAAACTAAAGTAGTCTTTAGTTCTACTCTTTTTTGTAAATCCTAAAAAACAATTATGAGTTGCCATGGCAGTTTCATTTTCAATTTCCCTATTTTTCCAAATAAACATATTAAAGATAAACTTTAGTACTGGTAATACGATTGCATTGTGAAAGAAAAGGTGTGGAAAGGATCAGAATCAGTTGATCATGTAGCATGTACAGGTATTGGTGGGCACTGCAAGGTTCTGGAGTCATCAAAATCATAATAAATTTGACCGAGTCTTGGTAAAGTAACAAGCACTGTACACAGAAAGCAATATATGGGACAACACACATGGTGTCGGGGCTAGTACTACCTTGATTTCCTTGTCTTTCTATGCTCATTACTCAGCCAATATACATTTTCTTCCAAAATTGTATGGCACATGTCATTTATTTGTAATCTTGAACATTCAGTGTAAGTTTCGTTTGATTTTTCTGTGAGAATTAATTTTCTTTTTTTTTACCAGAACTGGAGTTTATCTTTAAAGTGACTTGGTAACATCGTTAGAGGTTGATGGAAAATCTGCTTAATTTTTGTTTGAAATGTACTAACCCTCTAACTTGCAAACAGTCCTGAAAAAATTCTCAAACCACAAAGATATTTATTGTTGTCTTTGAAGGCGTCACTGTGCAAGACTCTCTAACAAAAATTCCCCCAACCATTTTTGAACTTTCCCAACAGTTTTTTCCATGATAAAAAGACAAGAGACAGGCTTTTAAAAATCCTTCAACACTTAAATGTCTGGAATGGTTTATAGAGCCATTTCATTGCTTTGTGACAATTTACATTCACCTAAATGTAATTAAATTGTAATAATATAGTTGGGAGAATAAGGAATCGATCAGTTCAGTGTTTCCCAATTTTATCATTAAAGGCCAAGTCCACTCCAAAAATAACTTACTTATAACAGAAGGATAAAAATCAGACAAACCAATCAAAAAAAAGTTTAAGCAAAATCGGATAACTAGTAAGAAAGTTATAATATTTTAATGACAAGAACAACTCTGAAAATCACAAGATAAATTTGCAACTCACTCATGAGACTGTGACGTCATTGCCTAAGTATCCACTAATTATTGTCATTATATTGATAATGTAAATTTCCCAATTTCCCCCTAAGAATCTTATTTCCTCACACCAGCATCCAAGTTATATTGATAGTACTATTTTTCGTGTGGATGCACTATTTTTTTTAGTTAAATCATGAAAAACATTAATTTCGATAAACTATATAAGATTCAATAATTATGAATACAATATTCAGAAAATAGTATCAAATCTTCAAAGTTCATTAAAGATTTTGTGAAACGTCATGCACGCAATATGATACAAATCATATTACTTGGGCAAAGGCATGGGGAAATTAAGTTTTGGGGGATAAAAATGGAAATTAATGGATAAAAATGTATAAAGCAATTGATAAAAAAGAAGACCTTACTTGGGTTACAGTTATTAAGTTAATCTTTCTCTTGTCCCGGCATCCATGTGACTCTTTTCCATATGTACTCTTGTTATGTATTGAATGATTTTCTTTGTTTTTGCTGAATAAATAATAAAAATAATAATAAATAGTGAGGCAGTGATGTCACAAACTGATAACCAAAATGACAATTTGTGTAGTGATTTCCGTTGTTCCATACTTTTTCATACTTTTTCAAAAATTCATAACTTTCTTATTAGTTATCCAATGTTACTCAATGATTTTCACAATTTATTTTGAGCAAGTGTTGGATACTGAACGTCAGTACATGTATCTTTACTTGGTATATATCTCATAATATTTCTTTCAGGTGTTTAATAAAGGGCTCATTTAGTTTGCATTCAACAAATGCATGATTTATATACTCTTTTATTTTACATTTTGGGCATACATCATCATTTCATTAGACATTCCCCATTTGACAAGATTGTTAGTTTTTACTGGCAAAAGATTATACAGCAATTTCAAGTTAAACTCTCACAATTTGTTTTCTCTAATGTGCGCAAGATTATGCTTGAATACCGTAGACCAATCAATATCTGCATTAGAAGAAATATACATACATGCATGTGTAATTATGAGGATAATTAGACTTGATCTATAGGGATAGGGTTTGAGCTTTCTGATCATTCACATGAGAGAGAGGACCATCTGTGACCTGTGGCATGTGTACATAAGAGAAAGAACAATGATTTAATAAAGCTGTGTAAACACAACCCAATGCTTATCAAGCTACTGTAGTCGCATGGTGTTCAGACTAGCTATATTTTGTGTTCACACCCGAAAGTACATATAGCTTGGTGCATTCATTGAATGTGAACAATCAAGCTACATGTAATATGCTACTCTAGTCTGATTGTGTTTAGACTATACAAAATGCAGCGATCCACTCTTTATTTTTAAATCAATTGTGCTCACACTTGCAAGTAGGATGATTTTTCTTGTAGAATGGGTAAACACAAGCTGATGCCACGATAGTCACTAGTGACTAGTCAGGTTGTGTTTGAAATAGAGTTATCCATTCTTTACAAAACTTGATTTGTTTTTACTTCAAAGTTCAAAGGAACGTTTCAGCATGTAACCACAAGACGCTGTATTGTCTTATTCAGAGAAGTGTGTTCATGGTTTTAAAAAGACGTTACTATTGATCCAAATTTAAAATATTCAAAAGATTCAGACAATGACCTTCTGCTTCTAGTTGATTGTTTGGCCTTAGATTATAGTTCTCTTTTGTTATTAGCTTTGTTTTATCTCATTTAGGTCATTTTGAATATATATTTTTAACTCAAGAATTAATCCTTGTATCTGAATTAGACATTTTCTACATTTTAAAGAAGAATTTGCAGAATATACATTTTTTTACAATAGATTTAACTTTATCTGTGTTGTTCTACCGTAGTTAACAGGCATGAAACCTTGTTAGTGTTTTTCAGTGTCTGCAATGCAAGACTATGCTGACTACACAGACTACTGTACACCATTGGCTCTGAAATTAAGCTGCTCCTGACACAACCAGAGATTACTTACAGAGCTAGGCTCTGCTGAAGACTTGAGGTACAGTGTTAAATTAGAGTCTGTGCCTGCAGAGGAACCTGGGCTTACCTGTTTACGTTCATGTATGTCTGTAATGAATGTTAATTGTCAGACGCATGAAGATCTACAGTACTACTCAGAAGAAGATGTTGATATTGATTTCACCTTCTTATTGATTCTGACTCATACTGTCCTATCTTGATATAATTTGACCTTCTAGAGTGACATGGTATTGGTTTTGTTCATTGATTGTTGTCACAGTTCTTTTACCTTTGCTTATTATTGGCTTCTCATTGTCTGTTTTCATTGATTAGTTTCCTCATTTGTGACTTTAAAGAGATTTGTTCAT